TCGGTTATTTTGCATGCTAGGTGAAATGGGGTTAAATCACTATATTCGCAAAGGAATTTAGAAAATTCAAACTATAATGTAATTGTGCTAACACGAAAATGAGTCATGGGTGTTTGAACAATGAAAAATTACGTAATCGAGCTTGAATCCTTCATTTGCAGAGGGATATTTGTCCTATGGGCTCCATTAGCAATTTCTCTACTAGTGATGTTACAATATGTGATAAAATTTGTATCATTACTCAAGTGATTTTTATGAACGATAAGAGGTAAAATAACAACAAAAAGAACAACAACAACATAATAACAGAACAATTCATATATAAATTTCGTGTCCTACAATGGAATTGCCTCGTAAAATCGTTTCAATTATGTAAGACTAGTATTTGATAATAGGATCTGTTATCTGTTACTTTTTAACAAAGAAAAAATAACCACGGATGAGTGTTTCCATTTTGGTTAATGATCCCGTCGTGTGACATTTATCAAAGTCTTCCTGCTGCCTACGGTAATTGTGGTTTTAGTTTAATACTATGAGTAATGTAATCTTTTAATTGGAGAAAAACTATTAACAGACATTGAAAACATGTCCATACGTTCGCGCTAGAAACACTTTCACGAAACAACACATTTTGTATGTGTGAATTTTTCGGCTTTGTTTATCAAAGTGCAAATTTAACATATTCATAGGTTGTATACGCGATTTTTGGTAAGGTGCGATTTTTGGTAAGGCGCGATTTTTATACCCTGATTTTTTTCGCAATTTCATTGCGATTAATCGCAGTTTTTGTTTTAGTAGACACATATCTCGCGATTACAATATAAATAGTTTAAAAATAGCATTATAAACCGCATAAATAGTTAGAGATTAGTTCCCGTTTGTCAGACCTCTATCTGATGGTCGAAAAATTGTAAGATTCTAAGATAAAGTTGTAACATCCTAACAGTAATGCGACTTTTTGCAGTTTATGTTTTTAAAAAATATTTTGATATTGCAGTTGAGGATCAATTTTATATTTGCACATAAAGTTAAGTAAAATTTTCTGTTTTTTTTCATCATAATAAGCAAAGTGATTAAAATACATTGCACGTTAGACACCAATTAGGAATCATAGATGTAGCATGCAGTGCATATGGCCGAGGCGCTTCATCAATTTTTCCAAATAATATTGTGTCCGGACCTGACACTCTTAGATGGCGATAATATACTCGAAAATAAAAAGCGATTTACGAAAACGTTTTTACGAGCGGTCGTACAGTACAAGGTTCAAAATAAGCTTTAGGTTACGTATGTCATAGCTTTTAAAACATTACGACCATGCCAGACATATCAAGTACCTCAGTCTATGGATAGTGGATAAATTGCTTTTGTCTTACGCCGGGGGCACACGAACTCGAAGAAAACAAATTCGCTACCGAATTACCATTGACTATTCTTTTGGACAAATTAATCCGCGCTAGACAAAAAGTCTTCTGACACTTTAATAGTATTAAAAGTACATGGATTCTGTATAAATGCCTATAAATTCTCTTCGATTATTAGCACGAATGGCAAACAAATACATGTTATCATTCCGGTAGTAGTTACTGATATTTTTTGATGAACTTCACTGGTACTCTAATTTAATAAATGTCGCATTCGTGTTTGCGCTTTTTATCACCCCTTGCAGTATTTTAGATGCCAAAATAGCCGCATTTTTGGAAAAAAAGAAAATAAAGTATGTCGATATCTTGTAGGCGGGTCGACGCCCGATTTTCGCTGCTCGGTCGCTCGTTTTCCATTATCTCATTTCTGTCAAAACGTCGAAAATTAATATTCAACTAGGCTAACAAAACAGTCGTAATATGTCTGTCCGCAACTGCTAGAAATATAAATGGCAAATAGGTATATTCAAATATGTAAGTACGATAAACACGGTTTATAGATAGATATTCGTAGTAAAAAAATAGAGAAATTGCGTTTTGTGGATACTGACAGTGTTTGTATAAAGGGCCGGACGTTTGCTTTGTTGTGCCTGTTGGACATTTTCATAGCGTTTCAAATTCCCGCCACCAACTGAGCGCAGAGAAGATTTTTCTTTTTATAGATGCAGATATAAATTAACCTAATCTTTTATGGGCCAAAGAATAATCATTTTTCGTCGATGGCCGGTACTTGTTTATATTGTAAGTTAAGAAATATTTTTGTTGAATGTGTTTAGTGAAGCGCGAGTGAAGTGTAGCATTGCTCTGTTTGGAGATACTTTGCAGGGATTTGCGTTTCCCTATAAAATCACAATGGTTGACCATGTATTAATAATTTTTGTTGAGTAGCTGCGCTTGTGATGGTAAAGATGTTTTGCTACTTTTGTTGTCGCCCAGTGGGAATAGCATATAATTATATTTATCTGGACAAAATCAATCGTTTTTATTGTGATGAACATACATAATGGTCAGACATTATATTATAAATTTTAATTATTGCATTTTGATATCGGCGAAATTATTAGTGAAGTTATGTGGAGCGTTGGAGGACATTAGGTCGAGGATTAGTGTTTTCAAGAAAAGGTGCGTTCCATATGTTATGATACCTAAGCAATACCAACTCAATACTGAGCTAAATCTGTAAATGCAGAAATGTAACTTTATAAGCCAGCATGGAATACCCTTTGTTGCAATGTCGGATATAAACGTCTCGCATTCTAATACACTGTACATGTATGCTATACTTATATCAATTGGCAGTATGTCAGTCATGGTTTCAATACGTCTTCTTTACTTTTAAACAGTTGGGAGAACTTAACTGCGGTAAGTAATTTCTGTGTGTACTCACGAGTGCTTGATAGACCATTGATGTCTGGTTTTCAGTCAGAAAGTTTGTTCCATACAGTGCTGGGACATGTCATATGATATATATATAGTGAAGTACCTTTCATGCCGTGTAGGTCATCAGAAAAGATAGAACTGCGTATTCTAATAGTATTTACATATTTTCTGTTCACAAGTCATCATTTAGGTAAGACTGTTGAAATCAATGATGGATAATTGTTATGGACAAAATCCAAATTTGGGAAAACTACTAGAAAAGCTATATTTGTTAATGTTACATCATTTACTTTATTAGTTTGAAAATTTCAATATATTACTTGAAATTGAATTGATGGTTGCTCTATTGTGTTTGGATTCCATAAGAAGGACTTTTTTATGGGTGTCACTGTTCATAAACATATATAGTGAAGTTGATTTGTCAATAGACAATAGGCTATGATAGCTAGCTAGCAAATATTATCTTCTCAAACAGTAATTTTATTATTTTAGACTGTTTGATTGTTCATTTCTTGCCATTGTTGTAAACTGCTTGTCTGAGGAAGTCTGACGTTGGTCGAACGAAACGTTTGCATTTGTGTTAGTGTGCAGCTGGACTGAATTGGATAGAGTAATTTTGAAGGCGCCTTTATCTAGACAAACTTTCGTCTATGGAAGATATTTAGATATCGGGAATTGTGGTGGGTTGGATAAGTGTTGTGACAACCAATGCAAAAATGTAATATGCTTCGAATGTAGGCGTTTGTATATCTAAGAATTGAGAATTTGCTAGTATCAAATGCTGATTAGTCATTTCATCCCTGGGGCATTGTGATGTCACATACCGATACATAACAATCTTATGATTCCAAGTTTCGAATATCGAAAATATAGATAATTAAAATTATGAAAAAATGGAAACAATTCAATGCAAAAGAAAATTTGTTGGAGTATTGTGAAAAATTTATTTTAATATTCCAATTGTGTACAAATTTTTCAGAAATGTGATCAAATAACCCATAAACTTAGCAGTAAATTATCATAACTTTCTATTACTTTATGACAATACGGCAAAATATCAAGTAGTAATAATGTTGGAAATTGTTAAATATCAAGCTACCGGTTTAGAGATTTGTAACGTCTATGATTTATGAATCAGCGAGTTAAAATGTGGCACTCGAACTGCGAGTATTTATAAATGAGAGAAACTTTTTGATCGTCGAGGGACTCTCGTCATTGCAAATATGCAGCTGTTACATTGAGTCGGCTCTTTCCTCTATTGTGTTTCCCACATTACATCACATGCACAAATTATAATGCGCCACAAACATTAAACTGATCTGAGATTGCGCTTAATGTTACAATAGAAATAACAGATGAGGAAAATTGAACAGAAAGCGAAGAATACACATTGGTAGAAAGATTGGACAATTTTCAGTATAGACACAATTATCTTAGCTTTTATATGTAATAAATATGTAACTGTTGAGAATTTGCAACCAAGTTTGATAGTTAATAAAGCGTAATGGAAAGACTTTTCTGCATGTGTGTTTTCATATTTAGTTTGCTCTATCTATGAAGACTGTCAGGTTAAAAATGATTTTGATTAAACTTCACATCAGACACTGAAGGATATTTAGGTGTGAGGAGACATTGGGTCATATCAACCTACCCTTGTGCTTGTTTAAAGCCTGTCTAGAAGCAAACATGTCACACAACCCATAAAAATAATATTGGACAAAACCTTTGTACATGTTATGTTGAAGATTTTGCTTTAAATATCCAGTGTAGAATGAAATTATTATATTAAGGATGTTAACCTTTGTGAATACGTTGTTGTTGTCGCTTGTTTGAAGCCTTATTCACACGAACTATTTGCTTCATAAGTTATATATAATAGTCATTACAAAAATACTAAAATCTAAAGTCATCAATTGTGAGGGAATAGCATTCGAAACCAGTGTTGTTCCTAAAGCCTTAGCCGAGTTAAAGATCATCCGAGTTTTGAGTTGAGTCCGAAGTCGAGTCAATCATTGATTAAGTTTCACTGGTGGTTAGGTCGAGTCATACCATCTCAATGACTCGAGTCACTTCGCTTTGATAAAGGGTGAATAGAGTCCAACTCGAGTCGAGTCAATGACTCCGACCTCCCCAACACTGTTAAAAAATTAACAGTATGGAAATTATTTAACAATTTTGTTATATTACCTATTTCAGAGTTTCTTAGATATTTTTTTATCATCATGATTGTTTGTCGTTTGTTGTTTTTTATTCATTTTTTATTCATCATACTATCAACAACAATATATCAAACTGAAGCTCAAGATACTGAAGGTAAAATACTTATTTTTACAAAATTTTATTTACAGTATTTCAACTCGATTTTATTTACACGGTTTTGATAGTATTATCATCTTATCATGCTTTTTAAAATATTCACCTGAAACTTTGTTTGAATTTTGGATATTCTTTTCTATTCGTTAAATTATTTCAATATTGTATCAAATTGATAGTGCATCGTGTTTAGCATTAGAAACAGCTTGGCATCGCAGATCACAACTTTGATTAGAGTTTGCCAGTTAAAATACTGGGGGGGTAATTATGTGCAACGTTATCTTTGAACTACTGGTCGGGCATCTGAAACAAGTAACTGGGTAACTATTGCCATACCCAACATGGACAGGTAACTAGATGAGGGTTCACCATATGATAAGCCGTCTTATAGACAACTTTCCTCTCCCTCAGTATAAATATGAAAATTGAATCCTAAGCAATATGCTGTGCTAGTGTCATGTATAAAGATTCATATATTCATTTTTCAGATAAAGATATTTGTAGAGCTGCTTCAGGATGGGCGTACTCTGCCTCATCCTCTTCATCAGGAGCAGCTGCGGCAGCAGGTGGAGGCGGGGGAGGGGCGTCGTCAGCATCTGCAATTTGTATTCAAGCTAAAGTCCCCTCCGATTGTATAAGAGCACACCCAGGATGCTCATGGTGTGCACAGGCTGTAAGTGGGGAATATTGAATTACTGTTAAATTAATGTCAAAATTATTATTTTTTTGATTGGTAAAAATAGTAGTGAAAAACTGGAATAACCATTGACTTACTTATAATACTTATATCAAAATTCCTTTTCTTATCAGGTATTTGTTTAAATACCAGTCATGCTTGAGTTTAACAGCTATTCCAGTTAGTCGGTATGCTATCGAGGAATGTATTATCTAAATTCATTGATCTGTGTCAGCACAGAGCTTAAAATGAGTCTATAATATATGCTTGAATAACAACTGGCTGTTGGTGGTATGTATCCATGTAAGTTATTCAAAAGTCAATTAGTCACTGCAGATTTTTAACATTGTAATATCTGATACATTGACTGTCTATATCACAAGTAAAATAAATATTCACATTCAAAACAATTTACATTTGACATCATAGTCATAGTCAAGTTTATTTTTTCCAAGCAGTAAAATAATAAACAGATACAATGCAAAAAATATGCGAAAAGCCGCGTATAACCAAACTTGTTTATCTAGCAGCGGATCCAAGGTTCTGCTATCTAATTAAAATTTAGAAGATCAAGCCAACTTTTGGTTGCTTTCATGGTCTTGTGTATTGTACTTCGCTTGTCGATACAAATGGATTGTATGTACCTGACTACTTACTGATCCATCTGTCTATGTTAGTGTAGTAATTCCGAACCTTTTTTGTTGCATTCCTCCTTTTGATAATTTTGAAACTATCAATTACCATGCATCAATTACCTGACTTTTAATCATTTTATAATATGTTAGCCAATTTCTATTAAAATTTCTGAATTATAATTTTTTCAATTTTTTTCCAAGGATTTTTCTGGACAAAGATGCAATGTAGAAGGCATACTCCAATCACAGGAATGTAGTAAAATATTTAGCATAAAGTCAGAATACACAATGGAAGTATCAAGCTCTTCGAGTTCATCCCAAAGATTCAGCACAAGAACTGGAGAAGTGAGTTTTACTTGACTTTTTATTCAATTTATATAATTTTTATTAGAAAATCACCCACACTTGCTAAGAAGCAAAAGATGATGTGATTTCTGAGTGCAGTTACGGGTGACTACCGAAGTGTCAAAGGCTGCTGATATTATAAAGAATCATAGTGTTGTTGTGCTTGTAAATATCGATTGAACCAACACTTGAATTGGTTCAGGTTGAGATAATCAGAAAAACAACTATGAGGTAATGAATTCGACATAACTGAAGTTCTTGGAAAAATCTTTAAGCCCAAATTTTTCGTGTGTGGTGGGTACACTGAGAGTAATGTCAGCTTACAGCAAACCCAGTATTATGAGAGATATTTTTTTTGGGGGGGCCATGCTCCAAAATTAAAAAAAAACATTTATTATAATATCTATAAAAATAAGAACAACAATGCAACATTTCATAGATGGAAAAAATCTACTTTAACAGGGCTTTAGATAAGCAACAGCTACTGTTACAAATTGTAGAGCATTTTTGATAATTAAGTTACCAAATGGATTTAGAAACCACTTGGTTACCATGTTTTTTTAGGAATGATTAAATTTCACTGCGTGGGTGTTGATTGCCTATTGAGTGATTCATGCTAATGCTATAATTTTTATGTGTCAATTGTCCTTGTTTAAGGTTACTTGAATTAGAAAATGATCAGTTTAATATTTACATTCCAGCCAACTGTTTGTGCTATTTAGATTTTGTTTTACAATAGACTGATTATTTTGGCATATCGGTAATGTATTACCATATTTAACTATGACTAATGGCCAATATTTTGATATGTCTTTCGTTTGTGTCGATTGTATAGAAATAAATGTTTATTTAACATTCAGAAAGTATAGTGTAGACATTCTTGTGAAACCACAGGTGTATAATATTGACCTCTTTCGCAATCACACCACAATGTCTTGCTGTAAAAGAGGTTTTGGAAAAATGACAGTTGACCCATAGTGCTAAACATTATTGTACCCTTAATCACTCTGCAATGATTCTTAGTAGGAAAAAATATAATAGGGGACTTGACTTTTCACTGTTCAGGGGTCTTTTTTTATATCTGGTTGGCTTTGACTTCCCTGTCGTCTCAATACTTATACATATAGAACGATTACTGCCTGACTTTAAGCCATGTTGATACTGAATGCTATTTTTCTTCACATTATTTAGCTGTTTTCATCCACTTCATTCTTACCTGTGTTAAATATGAAAGCCTCAAGCCTTCAATTATATATCTCATAATCAATGACCTTTGCTTTGATTCATCTTCAATATGAATACTTGAAATAATGTTGTATGTATGCTGATATTAAGGTTATGCTACCAGTGGCCTAATTTCATCTTTTTTGTTAATATAATTTTCGTTTTCATAAATTCCCTTGATTTTTTTTTAATCATATAATAATACTTTTCAAATTGTTTACTGGTTGTTTGCTATTTATCTTATATAATATATTTATCTTCAGGCAAGAATCAGAGTTGGTGACACAGTATCAATCCCATTTTTAATATCAGAACCAAAAATATATCCTGTTGATTTTTACTACCTTATGGACGTCTCACGTAGTATGTTGGACGATTTACGAAACATCCAATCTCTCGGAACAAAACTTGGTAAATATGACTTTTATTTTAGGTAGAGAATGACTTGGATTAAATTGAAATTTTTTATTTGTTATACATCTCTTGTTAACGACTTTTACAGGGAAGGGGAACAACGCATGTCATGAGATTAATAACTTGAAAGCCTATTATAATTGAAAGAGCATTCCGCGGTTTCACCCAGTTATTTATATCTGGCCCTCTTGTATTAAAGGTTGCACACCCCTCCTGCCTCCCTCCGGTAGGGTTGGACATTGAACATGAGATCTACAGTATATTCTGCAATGCCAACACAGTTAAAACACTTTAACTGACAGGTCATTACATAGGTCTCTGCTGGATGCTCACATTTTGTTAACATGCGTTAATTGTTAGGAATCAGGATGATATCGTTAAGTTTTCTTATAAGATTTCTTCTCTCTTAAGCTTAAAATGAGGTCATATCTAATACATTTTTTGCAATAAGTTATTAGGTTATTTTGTGCTGAAATTTCTTTTTTTTTAGTCAAAAAATTGAGGCAACTGACACAGGGAGGTGAAGATTCAGTTCGACTTGGATTTGGAAAATTTGTTGACAAAGTACAATCACCAATGACACAGATGACTCCTTACAAGTAAGATAGTTTTCTAGAATTTCTTTTTCAATTGTCTGCTATGTTCTGGATAGAATAGGAATTTGTCAATATTCATTCTGGGGTGAGAAATGACGATGTGACATTATAATCTTAAGGTAAAGGTAGATATCAGCCTTATTGTTTCTGGTTCTTGGATTATATAGGGTGTTGTAACTGGAATCTTAAAAAAGCTTTTACTTTCATAAAATTTCCTCGGAATCTGATTTTTACTCCTAATTTAGGTCGTTTGGCATATATGTGGTGTGCACGCTTTTCCACCATTTTTTAGCAAATTCTTTGCTCAACTAAGGCTGGTACCATTGTGCGAGCTTCACATCTAAGTATTTTGACGTTTCCATCTTGTATTCATTTCAGGTTGATCCATCCATATGAAATAAACACAGATGCTCCGTTTCTATTCAAAAATGTTGTCAGACTAACATCCAATATTCCAAAGTTTGAGGAAACTCTGAAAAAAGAAAATGTATCTGGAAATTTGGATCCACCAGAGGGTGCATTGGACGCTATGCTTCAAGTCGTGGAATGCAAGGTACTTTTATATATCATATTTTATTTAAAAGAAAAATTGCTCAAAACAAGTTCACACACATTCAATCAGACATTAAGCAGATTGATCTCTTTGCTTTTATATTATTAGGCATTTTAGCGGACATAATTTCTGCTATATTGTTGTTGTTAGGGGTCCTATTTATGTTGTTGTTGTTTGGACACTAGATTAATTGGCTTTCAGGATTCAAAAGTGGTCATTATTTTTCATTTCTTTTTGACACCTGTGGCCAATCGTTCTACCAGTAATTGCAGTTTGCTTCAAATTCCATGTGTTTCCTCCGTGTATTATAGGGAACGTAGAACATGGAATAAACGTTTCACACAATTCTATGACACTTCAAGCTGAGGTTATTGCTCGTTGACCAGTCCAGTGATGGACTTACGTTAAGAGCCATATGAGTACTTTAGATACTTGGACAGGGTTAGTGTATGAAGATATTCACTAAACAACATGATGAAAATATGCACTTTTTAAATTTTAATTCTACGTTTTGTGCGATTTCTTTGAAAAATATTGAGTTTAAATATTAATTGTTTCTAGCTGTATTGAAGAAGAATTTTCGTTTTCCTGATGCTAATATGTATAAGGAAATAATATGTGATTTTGATGACATACTTTAACTTATTATTGCCCTATGACTTCCTGTATTAACATTTTCCGACTTTTTCTGCTTTTAATATCATTGTATTTTTATTCAAAGTATATTGTGCTATGCTAGTCATGATAAATGGATTCGGCATTGTCAATATGGTAAATAAACATAATAGTTTGGGAATATTTATAGTTAAGCTGCCTTTCCATTCATACCTATACTTTATCACACATTCAAAGGGTAACCAGAAGAGAGGTCACTTTTCCAAATTCGAGGAATCCATATTTTCTACTATCCCTCTTTCTGAAAGGATTTGAAAATTCGCATATTGAATGTTCTACCACCCTGCTTTTTTATGAACCCATTTTTTGACTTTCCTCTCCACATGAAAAGATTCAGAAACTTGCATATTAAATATGTACCCACATCTTTTGTGAGTGAGTTTTGTGGCATTGATTTTGAAATTTTTTTCAGGACGTGATTGGCTGGAGAGAAAACACATTACGTCTTCTTATGGTTGCGACCGAATCAGCTTTTCATTATGCAGATGATGGAGCAGGATATTTGTCTGGAATTGTCAAAGCGAATGATGGAAAATGTTACACGGATAAAGCCACTGGAAAGTAAGAATTTTTTGTCAGATTTTTCTCAGTCGAGCATGACATATTGTGACAGACTTGATATTTTTTGTTTTCAATCTGATAAATTGGATAGATAGACATTTGTAAATAGTAGGTATATTGCACTAAAAGATTTATTTTTCATATAAATATAGCAAATATAAACTTGCCATTAAATTGTATGCTCAAATGTTAATGCCCCATGGATTTGGGGTTATGTGATATTATTAGTATTTGAACTTTTTTTTACTTAACCGGATGCAACAATGCTATTTTATTGTTGCAGTTATTCTAAATGTTATAAATTCATACAATTTTTGTAGCTTATAGTTGTAGAATTTGTATTGCTTCTACTGCTTCCACCAAATCTTGTGCCTCAAGATATAAAATCAAATTCATTTTGAACATTTGATTTTGAATAGTTACATTTTCATTTTATCAAAATAAATTTTCACATTATTATTTAATTGTTGAACATTTATAAAAAAAAGTGTGGTTTTAGCTTTTCAAATTTTTTTGTGAAAAATTAGCTCAAACCAGTGTCAGGTACACTCACTGAGAAGCCAAAGAGACTAATCTATGAGTTAAGTTGCAGGTGAACACTGAAGGGCCAAGAGCTCCTTTTTTGAATATCAATCAAATTGAGTTTCTAATTTGTGACAAATTTCTCAGTTAATGGAGAGGAGTTTATTGAATTATTGGCAGACAAATATAGTGTTATATTTGTTATATGATGAAAAAATAATTCACAATATTTTGTAATCGAAGTGTAATAACATTTTTAAATAAAAAATAATATACTTCAGTGTTTTTACCTCAAACATGTTTTGCGGCGAAAAAGAAATTTTAATGACAGTGTGGTGTTTAGGAAACAACATTCTACATATTTGTCTCCTTAAGTATTCAAAAATAGTTTCTTACGTTATGCTAAACCATCGTTAGTAATACACAAGATACGACTTAAAACTGGATTTTTTTTAACTTGAGTCATGTTGTGAGATTATATTACAAGATTATGGCTTTATTATTTGGATTTATTTTACTCATATTATTGGTTTTCACTTAGCTGAAAATTATTTATCATAAATTAAAGAACTTACAGATCTCGAGAGATATATACCACACTGGTAAAAAAATGAAAAATACTAATAAAATGTGAGATTATTGGTCGAATTGAGTTTTTTTTCTCTTTTTTTTTAAATATGGTTTACTAAATTCTTGTTTTGAATTTTGTTGTTACCTGAGCCGTAGGATGCCTTGGGGCGTAGTCACGGTTACGATATTATTGATTTTGAAGATTTATATTCATATCTTTATTCTGCATTACAAAATGTTCAGTGATTTGATGCTCACCAAAAATTTGTAAAACAATGTATAAAATCCTTTACATACTCGACAACTCTCGACCCAGTCTCAATTTCTTAAATTGATTCATTATAAACAGATTAAAATAGCTTTTGTTTACAACGACTGGACATGTTGCTTTCAAATTTTTAGTAGTATTAGTTTCACCATGAAGGAAAACATTTCATATTTTAATGTGAACTCCTGTGAGTGGTTTCTCTATCCCAAAATGTGCTGCTTTTACTGAATTATATACACATGCGTACGACATAGGTACCATTAGGGATCCTTCTGTTTTCATATAATGCATTGCTCTCTTGTTTTACTTGGTCCATTAAACAACACTGCAAGCTTGATGCATCTGATTTATTTACATCTTTGAATTTCCTGATTTTCCTGATCAATTCTATTAGCTTCACTATTTTCTCATGCAAAACAAATCAATTATTTTTTTTAATACATTTTTTATCATCTTATAAACTCTTTTATCTTCCAGATACACAAAAGCAGAAGAACAAGATTACCCATCAATAAGTCAAGTTGTCAGAGCTGTTGAAAAGAATTCAATTACACCAATATTTGCTGTCAAGAGTTTGTACTCCAAACTTTATCAGGTATAATTTTTATATCAAGTATTAAATCTCAGATGCCAAGTGGGGGAATCCTGACTAATAAATGGTAGTCAAGGTCTGACATTCTACTACCCTCACTCATTACATTACCACAGTAAGATGCTTAAGGGTTTTGCAATCCTCTTGCATCTAATTACATCCCACAGGATTCTCAAACCGTCAGGCTGTTGGATTTGGACAGCAGAAGCAATTTTCAATAATTTGCTTAAATAACATACTGATTTTTCTGTTTTATTCAGTCAATATCAGATGATTACTTCAAAGGATCAACTGCTGGAGAACTTTCGGATAAATCTGAAAATTTGTTACAACTTGTGGAGGAAGCTTACAACAAAATTGCCGGTAAATTTCTTTTACCGTATATATTTATATGAGTAAGAGAGAAAGGAAAGCTGATAAGACCTGTAATCTGGTATTACCCAATATTTTAGATTGAGTTTGGCAATGGATAACCAGTATTCCACTAGAGCTTTTTTACTTGAAGTTCCTCACCCAGGGTGTAACTTAGTTAGGCAATGTTGAACTGCAAGGAATGCACTCTTAACATATCGTCAGATATCATTGGGTGCTTGTACAGAGTCTTCTTCCGCACAGACTGCATGAATGAGCTTCATACACAAAAAAATGAAAATTTTGTTTTCGTCCCCGAAGTGAAGTATTAAAATTTTTTTTAGTGAGTTGTTGATTATTTCAAACATTGACTCTGCATAGACGAAAAACAATAAAACATCTTTATCATATAAAGTATTTGTGTACCAGTCCTTGTCAGGATAGGGAATATTTAACTAATGGCAGTTATTTGTTTTTGAATGTATTAGTCAAATTGCTCTATTTTTATTCATTTTGACAAATAATTCTTATTCCAGGGAAGCAAGAACTTGTTACCAATAATCCGAACGATACAGTGTTGTGTCCTTGGTATACATGGTCAGTCGCTGGTAATGCACCTGCTACTCTGTCAGTTGATGGTGCCATTGTCGACGGACTGGAATCTGGTACCAGCGTGAGTTCGCTTTTGTGTTTTTATATGCCATAAAAATTATTTAATCGTTTATTTCTGTCACAAAATTTTTTAATATCAGAATAGATATTTTGAAATTTCTGGGTATTAGTTTCATAAGTTCTGTATGGCAAAATGATTTGATGCTTTTTGCTGCTGAAAGTGATAATTTCGCAGAAAAAAAATTGAGTTTTTGTGTTGCTAAGCTGTGTTGGGTAGAAGTCACTAACGTCAAGTTGTGGGTTATCTTAGTCACAGCAAATATTAAAGTTGTAGTCTCAATTCAGGTCGAGTAACTGCATTTGTGAGTCACAATGCAAAATTTTCTTCGATTTTCTTTGGTAGTTAGTCGAGTCTAGTTGACCCATTTTGCTCAGAAGACTGGAGTCATTTTGAATCGTTGAGATTAATAAATTCAGGCTTTTTAACACTGTAGCTAGGACTTTCATTTTTTGAAATAGTTTTAATTTTTATTTTACGGTAGGTTGCACTATTCCAGTCTTTAGTGTTTTTTTTAGGTTTTAAATTTTTTTTAAATAAAAATAGCAATATTTTCTGCATCTGTGAATGTGTGTACCCATTTGCAGTCTTTTTACTGTAACAATAAAATTAAACTTAAATTTTTCCAGGTGAATTACAGCCTTTTCCTTTCTGCAAATCGTGGTTCATGTTTGGAAGGAGGGGAATGTGGTGTTGGTAACGTCGTCATAAAAACTCGACGTTATGATGACAGGATGACTGTGGCTACTACCGTACTTGGAGCATTTGATTGCGAAAAGAATGTGGAAGTATGTTTATAAATACTCTTACTGTAGTTTAGAGCAGATTCTTCTTTATTATGGTATGTGGCATTTAAAATTCCGCTAATTTTTTTGGAGAATGGAGTATTTTTTGAGAGATTTATTGTCAATTTTACTCAACTTTAATTGAACTGAATCAAAAAGATTCTTGTCCTTTTGAAATAAAGTAACTCCTTACTTAATTCATCATTGGCTGGTTGTGCATGCTTTTGTTTGGAATGGAAAGCGTCTAAATTCTTTATGGTTATCTGTGAAATTCAACTTTGACCGCTCTACATCATAATATTTGGATGGCTAGAAAATGATTCCAAATATTTGGAAGATTGACATAACTGATAGTTTCTTTCCAAAAAATTGTAAATGCAATGAATAGTATTTGTTTTTGGAAATGCTGCGATTATTTGATTAACTGCCGTGGGTTATATCCAGGCCACAACTTGAATTTTATAGAAATCACACCGAAATCACTAATTTTTCCAAATAGCTTTACATTTTTTGAGGAACAAATTGAACTTTTTAATCGAAAATACAATTTTGTTTTAAAAATATCTTGTATCACATCGTACATTAACACTGGTATTTTATTTATTTACAGAAAAACAGTTCAACATGTTTCAATCAGGGAAATTATTTCTGTGGAATTTGCGTTTGTGCAACTGGGTGGACAGGGCCTCGCTGTAATGTACCTGATGTGGTTGCGGCAGTTTGTCCAAAAACTGGAGCTAAAGATTGCTCTGGTGAGTAAATATAAAGTAATATAGGGAATTGTACACACTAGAGCAGATATTTCACTTGAAAAAGTTTGGCCGTTAACTAGAAACTGGTTCTGAAAGTTCACCTCAAAGAACATTATTGCCTAGATCATGTTCGATAAAATGAAATTTTGCTTGTTACGTTCGGGTATTCCATGAAATTATCTGGGGTGCAAAATAGTCTAGTTACTCTGTTTGATCACCGTTTTTCTCTTTTTTAGAAAAGAGGTGAAAAATAATTTCGATATATTGAAATTATGGTTGACTCTGAATATGTAGCATAAATGAATTTTAAATGTACATTAGAAATGGAGCCTCCAGCCCTATTTAAGACTTAATGAGTATGTTAGTGTAAATTCATATTATATATAAAAAAAAATTGTACACTCAATTTTATATATGTTAGTAGACCAAAAATAACAAACACAAACAAAATCATTATTTTTATTTATTAGGTCGCGGGACTTATGTCAATGGCAGATGTCAATGTGATCCAGCCCACCGACATAAAAAAGGCAGAATTTTTGGGCCATGTTGTGAATGTGACGAATGTCCAAAACGTGCTGGACGCGTCTGTTCTAACCATGGAGAGTAAGTTATGCTTATTTGTAATTGAATGTTTAAGTTTTTCAGAAAAAAAGATGAAATGGTGTATTTGAGCTAATGTAAATCATCAAATTTAATTGACAAATTACAAAACTTTCTATTTCGACAAATCTTATTCATTTTTATATTATCTCCTCAAACTTTCGACTCTTTAGGCTCAAAAAATTTAGATTTTGACTGTGATCCCAGACTATAGCCTATTTTACTCTAACCATAGGATCCTAATATTGGTTTTAAAGAGAGAAAAGCCGACATTTCGACTTGATTATATAGCCACAATCTGCCTCTAAATTGGTTTTCAATCCATGTATCCGAGTATAGACTTAGTCAACCAGTTTCTATGTGTACTTGGTGGCAGAAGAGGCCTCAACAACAAGTGGTTACGTAAACCAACCTAAGACGACAGACAAACTTGGTAACCCGCGCAGTGTAACCAATAACAAGCGTGTTCCTCATGTTTACCATGCCAACGTTTCCCAATTTTTATGTCAAAGTGTTTTTTTAAATTCCTTATATCCTACTTTTTAGACCAACAATCAAAGACTGTTCCTGCTCATGCGAATGTCATCCAGGGTGGATGGGCCCAGATTGCAGTTGCCAGATGTCAGATTTAACATGCAAAGGTCAGGATGGTTTGACTTGCTCAGGACGAGGAGAATGTTATTGTGGCCGTTGCGTTTGCGATGAAACTTTGGGATATGGCGGACCAACTTGCAATTCTTGCTTAGTGGTGAGTAGTAATGCCTTAGATATACATTGTATTTTACTAAGTTCGGCACCCACAGACTAAAACTGAATGGCACACTATACTGAATATAGTCTGAACCATTTTTTTAAAAGAGAAGTATCGAATATATTCTAAAATGAGCTATTTCCAACAATCAATTTTATACAAACCATTCATAAAAATATAGAAGTTAAATTTAACAGTTCAGAATCTTTGACACAGAAATTTCATTCATCACATTAAATTCAACAATTTCAATAATATTCTTTCCATAGCATTAGGAATACAACTAAGTTTTTATTTTATTTTATCTGACTATGATATACCAAGTGCCTAAGATGACAAACTTATAAATGAAAATAATTTAAATTTTTCCTGAAATCTGTAATTACCGGTATCTAATACAACCAATTTTGAAGATTTTTGATTTTTGAATACTGAATTAATTAGTTAATTAATCATTTTTTAAATTATTTTTAGAATTGTCCAACCTGTGCCAAGTTTCAAGATTGTGTTCAATGTGTTATGTACGGCACTGGTCCTAAGAACAACACATGCAGAAACGATTGCACCGAAAAAGAATTCACAATTCAAGTTGTTGATACTGAAAGTATTGACACAGGTATCGACTTAATTTTATTGTTTTTTCAACTACATAAATGTCGTCATCATAAATGGTATCTAGTGAATTACTTTGCTTGTGATCCTCAAAGAACTGCTCTGTGCCTCCTATGGTGTCGAGGACTCACTTTGGGAAATTTGATCTAGAATATAAATTTGAGTAACACCTGAGAAGAACAGATAATGATTTTAGGTGATTTCCCTAGGAGAGAAAATCGGATATAAATCCCTCAATTGGGCATTCATGCAAAGCCTTGTTGATGAGATACGGTGGCCTGTAATTCACAAAATAAATCATGAATTTTCATTAACCTATCGCCGTTTTTTACTTTGTACAAGAAATTACTGCAAGGAAGGTAGCTACTATAGTTAGGAACAACCTAAATTTTTCTGTTTTGGCATTGCTTACCCTAAGTTATAACACACTGAGTCCAAGTTACTAATTACTATTTATTTTTTATCAGATTCTGCCAAAGAATCAGGTCATGAAATGTGTGCTGCGTTGGATGAATCAAACAATTGTAAATTCTATTTTAAATACAAGAAACTTGCTGACGGAAACATAGAAATTTTTGCCGAAAAGGAACAACGTATGTTATTGTTTTTATTCATCGACATAAATTTGAAACCCTATTTGTATTGATTGCACTAAAGTATGTTGTAGAGCAACCGAAACAAGGATTTCCTTTGATCTTTTATGTATACTCAACTGTACTTCATCAGCATGGATACTGATAAACACTGTCTGTTCACTAAGCTACAATTTAATGATAAATTTGTTCTGCGTGCTACCAAGTGCAGAAGACTAAATATTTTTGGCATGTTTTTAAAGGAAGATTATTAGTTATTAGATTATTAGGCAAGAATGCCCAAGAGAAATCGAATATTGAATGCATTCGAAATTGGTTATTCAATACAGCAAATTTTTGATTTATAATTTATTGAGGGATTTTGTCATTATTAGGATTTGGCAATTGATAATCAGACAGAAATTAGACTTTATTAACTCGACTTTGCAAACAATGGAAAATCTATCAAAACAAGGTTTATTTGAATTATTATTCATTACCAAATTCATTTTCTATCAATTCGCAATGATTTCCATGAATTTCTTGGTGTGAAGTTTCCTAGTGTCGATTAAATATAGAAACTCCTTCCATGTTCTAACCCACTTTTTATTTTCTGAAGGGTGCAAGCCAGTATACTCTCTCATCATCGTCTTATGGTGCATTCTGCTCGTACTTCTGATTGGATTGATTCTGCTTTGTTGTTGGCGATGCTGTGTTTATGTGATTGATAAAGAAGAAGAAAAGAACTATCGACTCAGTAATTTGGCTCCTTATACAATCCCTCTCTTACCAGCTATGGGTGCAGGTATGTCTTGTATTGATTTGTACAATGAGTTATATTATTTCTTTTAGCTGTTTCTGTGATCTTCAGTTAGTTTGTTGAATCTATTTGGCCTTGTCAAAGTCCCAGAACTCTGAGTCAAATGTCATTCGAGTTTGAGTTCGGAGTCTAGTCTAATCACTCAGTTATGCCTTGAGAATTCGAGATGCCTTGTTATTTAATAATTTAGTTTCAAATTGGTATTCACAATAATTATTTTTTTTAAATTTCACTCATATGAGATGACGACATTGGTATTTACTGCTAACCTACTGTTAATATCGCTATTGCCGTATTGTACTGTTATGAGACAAACGAAAAACGCTTACAGCTGTGACGCAAAGTGCGAGTTCTATAAATAGCATCGATTTCAAAATCGCTATTCAGACATGTCAAAAGGCTGATGTGAATCAGATAAGAAATGAAGACCTATAAAATGACTTAGTATTGGTTTAGCATGCATTTTCAGTCATACATTTCATCCCTGTCCCTGTGATGTTTTAAAATATATGATTCCGACTGCACCATACTTGGTGGAGGTATGGAGAAATTTTAAATGCAAAAAAAGGTAAAATTAATGGTAATTTTCATGTTTAACGGCGCGCATTAGAATGTTAACGTTTTTCTACGCGCATTTCCGTTGAAAAAAGTAACATTTCTTGCATTGGGGGGTAACCATTCTTGCTATAATAGTTTTTCTAGTATTGTTCTGTTGGAAAATAACACAAGGAAATGTTTGAATTAAAAAATAATTAATTAGGAATAATTATTAACGCTCTACTAGACACAAAATCTCTAAAGTTCAAGATTGTTTATTAAAAATTTTAAAAATAACCCATGCAAAATGGACCCAGGAAGGTACAATTTTTTCGTAAACTTTTTATATTTGTAATGAAGTTGTAATTTATGTCAAATTTTACTGAGTAAAATCTTAATCCTAAATATAAAATTTCTCAACAAAAAAAAAATTTTTTTTTAGAGATATAGAAGTGAACTAAGATTTGAATGCAAAGATCTATGAAAAAAAACTCTTATTCATGTAGCTATTTTTTCAATCTAAATTTTTACTTTTTTAGGAAGTGTTATTGAATTTATCAAAGCAAAATATCTGATTCGTAAGAGTGCAAAAGTCGCAGTTATACCAGTCAGAAGAAACTTCTTTGCTGGAAAATCAAGCATCAAATGGAAGACATATGCTGGTAGGATATTTTATTCAATTAAGATGTCACAATGAATTTTTCTTTTTGTAAAATATATAATGACATAACAAGTAGATTTTTTAAAAATATGCTCGAATTCCACAATTGTTCCATATACAAGGCAAGGGACTAATAATATTTTAGTGATGTTGAAATATTTGGTCTTTCATACATGATTCCAAATATTACAGGCTCAGCAGGTGACGATGACTTTGAAGTTATAAATGATGGCGAAGAAGGTACTTTGGCAAGAAAACGTCGTTTTGATACGAAAGGAGCTCCAATCAATGAACAAGTTGATAAACGTCACATTGAAGAAGTCGAAAGGTTGGTTGCAAGACATTGATTTGGGCTTTCGTGTTCTTGTAAAGCTGTTCAAGCTAAGATTGTTAGGGAAACAAAAAAGTTAGTCTTGGACATAAATCAACCCTCCATTAGGGTGATTTTTTAAAATCGATTCTTTTTATTGTATTATATTTATAAAACTTGTTTCGTTGTTTGAGAATTTTTTGGAGAGATTCTCATGTGTGGAATTCTTATAGCATACGAGCATATACTGTATTTTTATATTGGGTTTATTTACACCTTTCGCTTTGAACAATGCCATGAAAAAGCATCCATACCAAACTACGTACAATGGAGCTACTATTTGAAAAAAAATTCACAGCTTGACACATTGTATCAAAAAATTTCTGCTTTTTAGTTAGATTGCTCAATTTGTTGAGTACAGTTTCTTTATTTCTACATTTCTCAACTCCTATTATTTACAGGGTGCCATGCGGTGACGAAATTGTTGAAATGGAACCTTTGGTAAAACGAGGAGGCAACGGAGCTGCAATGTCAGCCAATGATGGATCAGGCAGAGGCGGAAGAGTTGAAACTATTGATGAGACTGAAGCATTCTGGAGCAGTTATGACTGGGGAAATGGAGAATTGACGTTAGTTTCAGTTATAAAATATTTTTTTTAATTCTAACAACAAATAAAATTTTATTTTTTAATGGGCATTATGGATTCATATAGAATTTCGTATTGCCTTATTTTACATTTCAACAAATTAGATTTTAGAATTGATCTTGAAGCAATTTTTATGTCTGTATGTATTTTTCTTCGTCTCATATTTTTGAAACGCAGCATTGCTATGAACAAGGCTTTCGACTCCAGGTTGAAGAAAAATTTTGACTACGACTTCTGAACTTCGATGAATTCCGAATACAAAATTTTTATAATAAAAACTTTGGCATATATCTTGCTCACTATAAGTGTGATTGATAAAGGCTAATTACAATTAATCAATTACTCTTTAATTAGATTTTCTGACGAAGACGAATTTGCCAGTATCGAAATCCCATTGGTTCATAACTTCCCAGGCAGAGAAATCATGTTCTGGGTTGAACTTTATCAACAAGAAAAAGGTGTTGCACTTGGATTGAAAAGAACTAAAGTCATTGTTATTAAAGATGAAGGTATTATTTTCATATATATTCATTTTATAATTGATTAAGACTAAATAAGTTTAATGATGCATCATGTGAGGTGGATATTTATCTAAAAGGAAAAATAAATTAAAAATGTAAATTGAACAAATAATAATGTTGCATAAAAAATGACAACGCACAGGATGGAAAGTCATGAAAGTTAACAAGACTTTAAATTAGGTTTGAACTTCTGACATGAAAGCAATACATGAGCAATCTTACAAGGCAATATATTTATGTTATATTTTCAGATGCGGGTGTGATTGGATTCCCGAAACCAAGTTACGTCTTCAAAGAGAACGATGAGAGAGCAGTTGTACCTGTTCATAGAACAATTGGAATGGATGGAAAAGTATCTGTACGTTGGTTTACAAGAGATATCACTGCTATTGACAAACAACATTACCATGCTGGAAATGGAACCTTGACTTTTGAAGATGGAGAGGTAGGAGTCGAATTTAGCAAAATTTATGATTTTTTCGTCAATTAGTTCGAATACTCTTAATAGGCCCAAGCAGCCAATGATAGGGAACCTCTTTTATTTTGGAAGGACCAGAAACTTTTCTAAACCCAGAGCAGTTGATGACAAGTCAAATTCATTTCATTTAGATGACGCAATATGCTTGGAGTTATAAAACAAAGAGTTATATTGTGACTTGGGTCCAACTCGAATCGAGTGAAGGACTACAGGCTACAGCCCCCTCAGCACTAGCGTGAGCCACTAACTCACTCATGGGCTGATCACTACAGGATATATTATTCTTCGTTGATACAGTTTTTGTTTTTAGCGCTGGTTATTGTCCACTTCATACATAAGTACCATCAAAATTATTCCTATACCTGACCTAAACTGTTAACCTAGTATGAGTCTGTAGTTAATCATAGTTAAGTTATATCATCATCTTTCCTGTCTGTGTTTATAAATATATCATGTAATCCTGAGTAGGTATATATTACAGTGCAATAATCTACACCTAATCACCATTCCCATAATTTAATCCAAATTAACAACTACCGGTATATTTAATTTAATTCAAATTTTTTAGGTTACAAAACACATCGATATAGATCTCATCCCTGACGTTATTTATGACGATGTTGAGAAAGCCTTCAACATAGAACTTGAAGATCCCAAAGGTGGAGCATCTCTCGATATATCACATTGTATGGTGACTGTCTTGTGCAATGAAGAATGTGCAGTACTACAGTTTGCAAAGACGGCATATCCATTTATGGGTAAGATAGGAGATAATTATAGAGAATAATTAATTAAGCTGAACTGATTGATTATTAATTACCTTATTAATTGAAGTCCAGAAAAAAGTTTAAAAATTTGGATAATTTTTTCCATAACTAGATGTTCACAATTTTAAAATATTATAATAAACCAACAAACAATTTTATTTGTGTAAAAGTAATGCATATTGACTATTAGAGATTTATCCAAAAATCCATGTATTTATATTTTATGACCCAAAATTCTTTGTAGATGTTACAAGATTCATTTATTTTCTCTCTGAAAGAGTCATTTTTGAGCATGCAATCATTATTATATGCAATATGAGTAATTGAAATAATTGTTACTTCAATAGTTGAGAATATAATTATTTTGTCTTAGAAAATTGTGGAGTTGCTGAAATACCGGTTGTAAGAACCAGAAGCACAAAAGGAGTTTGTACTGTCAAATGGAGAACAGAAGATGTTACTGCTTATGCTGGAAAAGATTACGTCAGATCTGAGGTCTGTGGCCTATGCAGAATTTTGATGAGGATTTATATCAAGGGCATTTAAAAATTAAAAATTTCTGACATAATAATGTGACTTTGTGACAATAAAATTGGGACTTTGCCTTTAAAAAAATTCTATGGGAAATTCCTTCGGAAAAAGTGAATTCTATTTTTTATTATTTTCCATTCCTTTTTTCTTTTTTTCCAGGGAGTACTTACTTTCCCCAACGCAGTCACTGAAGCTCATATTCAGGTTCCTATCATTGATAATGATGAATACGATGAAACTGGACGTTCGTTTGTCATTAAATTGTACGATCCAAGCGAAAGCACAAAACTTGCTCAATCTATTGCTACCATCTCTATTATTGAGGATGACGGTAAATTTAATTTTTTTTTTACATTTTCACTGTTTTATAATATTTTGAAAAGCTTTTATATGTTAACTTTTGATTCTTGATTTTGATTTTTGAAATCTTAAATTATTTTTTCAAATTTTGAAATTCGAAATAGGGATATTTCTATATAAGATTACGGTATTTCATAAGCTTAGTCGTAACTTGCATAATTATTAGGCACTTTAACAATTGAAATACATACAACCTGTTCTACATTATTTTGAAATTTTGTCCAGAACCTGGAATGTTTGAATTTGCAAAGACAAGTATAGTGTTGAGAAAAACAGGCCCAGATCCTCTGGTTGGTCATTTGCCTGTGGTCAGATCACTTGGCACAGATGGACATATAACAATACCTTGGATCATACAGGCACATGATAATGAAGAACTGCCATCAGGTTTGTGGAGAAATGTATTTGATTGGATTTTTATAGTTATTCTTATGAACAGGAAAGCTGTAAAGATGGTGTAATCATATTATACCATGGCCATGTAACCAGTACTACCTTTTAGTTTGATGGTGAGATATCAATTGGTCATAGTAACAACTCTTCGGATAAATATTGTAAATTTGATAGCCAATGATCCTGCGATTGAAGCGCACACTCAACTGTGTTGGCAACGCTGATTACATATCGGGTCAAATCTTATGCCCTGCACCTCGCCTGGTCTTTCCTAATAATAGTAAGTAGCTGTCTTCTCTTTCGAGTCATTTTTTTAATGATAATTTTTTTTTTCTTTTTTTTTCAGATGTGTCTGCTATGAGTGGATCAGTTGAATTCACTCATAGTGAAATTACCCACCCACTCGACTTATACTTCCCTGACGTACCTCGGGAAAAAATGTTCTCGTTTGACATTATATTGATGCAACCAACAGGAGGTGGAAAATTAGGAGCCAAGAGTCGAGCGACTGTTACAGTATTTGGAGATGAAGGTAAGATGAATAAAATCTTTTTGTAAATGAGAAATATTACTACACTACTCGAACTTTCATGATATTTTTTGTGCCAAGTACAATCATAAAAAGATAAAAACTGGAAGCAAAGAAAATTAATGTATTACAGTCAATGAATTAAATGAATCACAATGATTTGCACAATGATCCACCAACCAACTTTATTTCTAAAAAAATAACATAATTTTAGAGGATAACTTAAAAATTATATTCTCCATTCAGATGAAGGAACAGTGTACTTTGCACAACCTCGTTTCGATGCAATGGCAGCATCAGGAATGGCAACATTACTTGTATCTCGCAAAGGAAATATCGAAAATGCAGCATTTGTTATGAACGAAACAAATGATATTTCTGCTGTCAGTGGAACTCATTACAGAGGTATGTATATATAAACTTAAGTATTAGAATACACTTCAAGTACATATTTGAACAGGCATATAATTAAAATTGGTATTTAGATATTACTTAAATTAAACTCATTTTCTTGCGGTTAAGAATAGGAATGTATAGAACAGGATTTTGGAATTTATCTCAGAGAAGAAGAAAAGCTGATAAGAAGAATCAGTAATATAGTGGATTGCATCCCCCCATTTGGTTACTGTTCCTGAAGAATAGTTTACAATTATTTGTTTAGAAAATCTCAAAATGTTCATTTTGTTTCACTTTCTAGGCGGCATCAGTAGCATTGTATTTGAAGCTAACGAAGCTGCCAAAGAAGTTGGAATACCTATTTACAATGATCCTACTAACTCTGGCCGACCTTTGACTTTCGGTGTCAGTTTAAAATCACCACCAGGGGGACCGAAAATTGGAGATTGTGGTTTCGCTGAAGTTGTAATTACTTGCACCGAACTTGGTAAGATATTTTCGCTGATTCCGCTGATTCCGCTGATTATTTTTATAGTGTTGAACTCATCTATGTTGGCATCACAGGTTAAAAATCCTGGGTTTGAATTCCATACCCACCACATCACCCAGGGTGTAATAAATTGAGGAAGCAATGGCAAATCAGAAAAATTCGGTTTTTCAAACAATAGCGTTTTTTTTTACCTAACTGTGGCTGCTTTTACAGAGCATTGTTCAAACTGTAAAATTTCTTATAAAATTATAGAATTATTTCTGTCTTTTTTATCGTTATTAGAAGTTATCTTGAATTTTTTTTTACTTTTTTTAGCACCAATCACTCCTGTTAAAGCAGCTGCCCCGACTGGAAGTTGTACTGTTGAATTGTTGAAATCAAAATATTTGATCAGGAGAAGTGCTAAGGTTAGTTGATAACTACTGCAATAGTTGCATTTCAACCAATGCTGAAGTATATGAGCAAAAATAGTCAAATAACTGATATGACCATTGTATTGCCTGCCAAGTGCTGCAAAGATTGTACCAAATGTCATGTGAAGATGTATTTGTGAATTATAAAACCAGCAATCTTTGGGGTGAGATATTGGGTCCTGTGTGACCCTGATATTTTTTTCATCTTTTTGATATACCACAATAAGATACATAAGAATTTTCTATCATCATATACCGATTATTTCTATTTTATAATAAAATATGTTTGTTTTATTTTCAGACTGCCCACATCCCAGTACACAAGTCATCTGCAGAAGGAACAGCCATTGTTGAATGGACTTGCATCCCAGCTATGTCCGCAAGTTCTTTAGAAGCAACTCAACTAAGTCCTATGGGCAAAGTAAGAAAACATTTTTCTGTTTTCGTGTTTTGCTGAATTTTTTTCTATTTTGCAAAACCCTCCCAAATTTTTGTCTGAAGTCATTACAATGATGGTTAACCGAGTCTAAATTTTTCTCAATTTGCTCAGCTGACTCGAGTCACTTTGAATCTTTGAAAAACAGGACTCGAATCTAGTCGAGACTGTCAATGACTCAAAATTTGGGTGAGACTGCGGACGAAGGATGCCAAAAAGGAATCGAATATTTAAATTTCGACTTAGTATATATAATATTTTAAGAAGAACAATATATTTGCAGTCAAAAATTTATCACTATAAGCATTTGACATCTGATAGAAGGACTTAAAATAGACTTTATTTAATTCTGACACTGTAAAAAATAGAAACACAATCTAAATAGTAACTAACTAAACCATTCTGCATTGCCAAATTCAATATTTAATACAAACGCAATGATTTCTGCAAATTTCTCTGTTGAACATAACCCAAAACTTTATTCTTTATTTTTTCAGATTAAAATTCCTGACGGAAGTGATCGTTCAGATATTGTATTGGATGTTAGCAATCTTGAAACAGATCAGCCGCAGATATCTCTCTGTATCATTCTACTGAATGTATGGTGGAGTGGGGAAGAAGACATCACTGATGATCTTGAACTTGGCAAGGAGAAGGCTGAAGTTATTGTACTCAATGATATCGGTGAGATTTTTTACTTTTCGCATTTAGAAAAAGTCTTTTTGAAATTATAATTTGATAATTAAAAAATCATACTACATACTTTTCGGTCGGGTGGAACGATAAAAGCGTATAATGTAGTTAATCTACTAACTGGAGTGAGTTTGGGTCTCACTGAAGACTGTCTAAAATTGATAAAAAATTGTGCTAGATAAGTATTTCTTTTAATTTTATTTCAAATTTTGAAAAGAGCCCCAATATTCTACAACTTTTTTATTCATTTTTTGTTATTATGCTAAAGGGGAACTGTTTTTTTTCTGTAATGCTTGACCTCCTTGTCTGCCCTTCCTTTCAGCAAACTCACTGCTCTAATTCCGTATCGGTACCGATGAGTGACTTTTGCGTATTTAAAAATTGCTCTCTTGTTAGTAATAAGAATAGATTAATTTATTTAGTTTTAAAATCTCATAAACAATGTTCTTTCAGATCCGGGAACTCTTGGCTTCTCAAAGGGAACTTACTCATTTAAATCGAATGATGGTCAAGTATCACTTCCGGTACACAGACTAGGTGGTATGGATGGTGACGTGGCTGTTGAATGGTTCACAAGAGACGACACTGCTAGGGTTAACGAGGATTATCGTGGTGATAGAGGAGTGATTGAATTTGGAAATAATGAGGTGAAAGGAATATTTTGCAATAATTAGGAAATCTTAAAAAAAGATTTTTTAAGCCGAATTTTTTTTCTAAATTAGTACCGGTAATCATAAATACTCATATATAAAGGGTTACAAATGAATTTCTTCGAGATATATAAAAATTTCGAAGCAAAAAAAATTTTATTTTTCGAATATATATTTAACTTGTCAAACATCAAGTCCATGCATCTGAAACAAATAACTGGTTAACTATTTCTATACCGACATGGACTGGTAACCGGCAAGAGGCCGTGGTATTGCATATGTTTAATCCATCGTATGTGCCTTCCTCTTCTGAATAAATATGAAAATTCTATCTTATATTCCTAAGTCCAATATCATTTTTTTTTTCAAATTGTGAAGATATTTGAAAGTATAGAACTACATAATCATGCAATATGTTTTTCTATGAGTTTGTTTTCTACCATTGATTGAAAGGATCATTGGTTTCTTAAATGATAACGACAAGTTTTGAGACTTTTTGATTGTTCAGATTGTTAAGAACGTACCTATTCAACTTCTGCCTGGACATTTTGCTGAAGATGAAAGAGAAAAACAATTCACCGTAGAACTTGGACAAGCAAGTGGAGGAGCAAAGACTGGAACAAGAATGGCAACAATTAAGATTCTTGGTGGTGAAGGTAGAGCTTTATTAATACTGGAAACTGTGAATAAAATTTCATTTTGTATTTCTTGTATTTTTATTATTGCCTATTTAGGTTTCTCATCTTTGAAGATAGAGATAAAAAATTTTCAATTTCATTCTAAACCAGGCTCTACACAAGCAGCCACTCATGTTACTATGCCTGTATTGACCAGAGTAATTCTGGTTCCGCATAGCTTATCCAATTTGAATAAACTTTGAATGAGCTGGTAGCATAATACTGATTTCAATTTTTTTTTTACTAGCTAGATAACGAACAAAATAATTATAGTAAAACTGCTTAATGATTGGTGCGTCACACCGAACTTTAAAAACACTCTTGCTGTCGCACCTTTGGTTATCCGACAGTTCGAATACTCTGGGAGATAATTATGTGCCAGAGGATTTCAGGAATCTTCGTCATCTTGGTTCACGTAGCCGGTGGTCGATGCATCTGAAATAAATAACTGATTACTTACTAGTCTATTATCTGGAATGACCATGGTTCAACATATAATTAGATCATATTATGGGCTTTCTTCTCCTTTTCAGATAAATATAAAAATTCTTTCCTGTTAAATTTGTCAAATGTTATCTCAATTTACAATATTTGTCTCTCTCCAGATCAAAGTTTTGTGCAATTCAGCAAAGAATCATATCCAGTCATTGGAACATCAACCAGCATCAAAATTCCGGTTCTCAGAACTGGCGACAGTCAGAATGAAGCAAGCGTTGAATGGTATACTGAGGATGGCACAGCAAGACAAGGAATTGATTACAAATTATGCAGGGTAAGAGAAGAAATATTTTTACTGATTATTTTGTTTCACTGAAATGCAGTTTTTTCAGAAAGTCAATGTTGATATTATAGTTGAATCAAAGCAATAGTTTCCAAATTTTGAGTAGTTGAATATGAAAATGTATCCAAGATAAATATTTCAATTTTTTATTCGTTTACCCCTAATTTTAGTGAGTTTGAGAAAAATACTCAGTCATCGTGTGGATTAATTTCCATTGATTCGGCGAGAAAATGCCCAACAGACGACAATTTTTAACAGTATTGGTGATTGCACGGTGGCTTAGTGAAAAAAGTAGTGAAGGACCTAATAGTGCAGGAATCTCTGGGTAATAATCTGGAGTTTCGAAACCCATGCCCACCTTCTCACCCGGTGTGTAATCAATTGGGTAGGTAATTCCAAAACGTAAAGATTTCTAGTTCTTCCAGTACATAGTAGCTCCGTTTGTATCATTAGATACTAATACAGAGCCTTGTTTGAAGAGAAAAGAAAATATAGAAAACCATAAAGCCTTGTTTGAAGAGCAAAGAAAATATATAAAACCATAAATATCTTTATTTCAATATATTTGTGAGTTTTTTCCTTCTTTTTAGGACATTCTTATTTTCCCTGCTAATTCAACTCGTGCTGAAGTAGAAATTCCATTGAGTGGACAAACCACAGAACCCAGAACATTCAATGTTTACTTGGCAAGTCTTGGAATGGATTCAAATGTTTTGTTGGGCAAAAACAAAATGGCTACCATAGCAATCATTAGCAGTCGTGGTAAGTTCATACAGATGTACGAAGCGAAGTGGACCTCGCTATCGCTCAATTGTTGCAGTTTGATGTTGGACCAAAAAAAAATGCCTTCTCTTCGCAACTAGAAGATTGACCGCTAAATAGCCAATACTTTTACCTTTTCAAATTTTTTCTATGCGACTAGATATTTCATCCCAATCTTTGCTTTATATTTTATTTCATGGGAACACCTCATTTTGTCACAGTCGTCCCCTGATTTCAAAGATTATTCAAAATAATTGCACCATCATGCGGATTCTCTCTCCATCATCTCTAGATAGTATAACTTGGCAATCAGAAATTTTTATCGTCACCATTTTAATCTCTAATTTTATGATGTTATTTTGATGTTATTATTTGCCACGACAGAACCTGGAACTTTCGAGTTCAACAAACAATCATACATATTTAAAACAACTGGACAATCTGGACTTGTTCCTGTTGTAAGATCGAATGGTACTGATGGTGAAGTTACCCTGCCTTGGAAAATTGAATCTGCAGCTGGAGAAGAACAATCACCTTTTGCAGGTTTGTGTCTATATAACTGGGTCTAAAATAAGAAATTATTTTCTTGGATACCTTAGGTTTTGTATTAATGTTAATCGGACATGGAGTGTACCAATAGATAATCTTACAAAATTGTTGTTGTCGTGAAAAAATCATTTTCTCCATGAATTGATTTTAAATTTTTGGTACTAATGTATTACTTTTATTTGTCTCAAAGTAATCTGAGTCATATTCCAAAATTCACCCTAAAAGATAATGTAGCCTTATCTTATCTATCCTTATCTCTTATCTAGTGATTATACTAGTGACATATTTTCTTATCTCATGACTGTCGACTATACCTCTGAAATGTTTTTTGTTCCAAATTTATTGATCACATTTTTATACTTAATTTAATAAATAAGGCCCTTTTTGATTAAACGTAAATTTAAAATTTTCTAGGTGCCGAAGGATTCCTTAATTTCGACAACGGCCAGATTAGTGCGAGCGTTGAAATAGAATTGCGAGGTGTTCCGTCTACTTCTTTTGTACTCGTCCTATGTCCTCCTGTGGAAGGCGGTAAACTTGGAGCAACATCCCAAGCTATGGTTCAGATTCTTGGGGAAAAAGGTAATTTCTATTGTCCGAGACATTATTGTTCTTTCATACGGCATTTTCACCCATTTTGCTTGGAACAAGGTTGTACAAAAAACGCCACTGATATCTAAGGACAATATTCATTTTTCCCTAAATATCAAATTACTGTATTACAGAGGAGCCTATAATAGAGATGGCATCGCCAACACTAGGAATCATGTCAAATGAAGTTGTCAAGGCTACTGTTGTTAGACATGGAAATCCAGAAGAAATGGCCTGTGTTGGATGGAAAACTGAAGATGGAACAGCTGTCAATGGAAAACATTTTATTGGTGGATCAGGTAGGTTTGAGTTTTCCATATTTTTTATTTTCTCAAAGCAGGGCCACTTTTACGCTAGTCCACCATCTTTTCGTCAAACTAACTGCTCAGTTGAAGCCCTACCGGTACCAGGTGTGGTTTGAAGCATTTGAATGATCAGATAGCAGATTTCTGTTTTGGTCCACTGGTCACTGCTGTATCACGATTAGTTATTTTACATTCGTGTCTGGATATTTGAACATTTGTTTTATTTTAATAGGCAATGTTGTCCTTGATCCTGGTGTAATGAGCAAAGATATTGTCGTACCAATCATCTGTCCACCGACTGATGATCCAGCATCTTTCTACATTCGTCTCACTGACGTCATGGGCATGGGAAAACTAGGAGAAACGAAAAGCACAGAAGTAACTATGGAACCGATGCAAAGTATGTTTTATGAATACACCACACTTGTTTAATATAGAATCAATATATTAAATTAAATAATAGGTTTTAGATTACTTTTATTTTTAGACTTAGATAATGAATAGTATCTAATATTAGAAACCTATTATCTGAATACAAATAGATCTTTCAAATCTTTTTTACTAAATTAGTCAAATTAGTACTTTTCGTTATAGATATAGTTGGCATATTATAGTATTGTTTGCCCAAGAGATGGTCTTAAAAGGCATAGATAAATAGAAGTAACGGGATAATAAAATGAATTTTTTTTTAAATAGTGAAGTTGCAATTACTAAAAATATGTTAACGAGCAAATTGAAGTCTAAATTTTATTCAATTCGGAACTTGTTAGTTGTAGGGAAAATTTCAATTCATATATTTGTGATAAAAAAGATCCAAATCAGAGAGGATGTGAGACAATATATTATATCATCCTGTTACATAAGCCAAATATTGGGAAATACCTAAAACACTGGAAATTCCTTTTTCTTCCAGTTTTCAATTCGAACACTAAAAAAATGTAGTATTTGATGTAAATCTTTATAGATATAGTTTTCTAACATTCAGATAAAATGAATGATAATAATAAGCGTACTTGTCGTATTCGTTAGGAGTAGGGATGGTAATATGGTCCCAATTTCTTTCTGAATAAAAGATTTTAGGACATATTAGGCTGCTTTATTTATTACAAATAACTCAACTTGAATTGTAAAGTTACTGTCACTTTCTAAACAGGCAAATATATGGATGTTCTACAGCAGTCTGCTGCTGCACCAGGTATTGGGGTGGAAAAAATTCACTGCTAATTCTGCTTGCTAATCCACTAATCACTTTCACTAATTAACATAAAATTATAACGACTTCATTCTACTAATTGTAGATTTTTTGAATTATTTATTTTTGTTTTTAATCACACTGATATACACCAATCATGCATGCAAGAAAAATTTTCAAATCCGAAGTTCGTTCGAAGTTTTTTTACGTTTTATAACATTTTCACTCAGAAATAAATCTAGAATAAAATCTTCATACATTCACTCAGAAAAGGCTCCAATCCACCTTTCAGTGACATTTTAAGATCAACTATTGTTGGAAATACTCAAATCTTACTAGTTAGGCATTAGTTAGGGAGATTAATAAACCCTGTGCGAGATGGTTGTCATAGAATTTGGACCCAAACCATTATATCAGCTTTCCGTTCCACCGGATAAATATAGAAATCCTATTTATCCTTTTATCCATAAAAAAAAAATTTTGTTATAATATGTCGGAAAACGAGTTCAAGGATTTGTTTTTTCTCTTATTGTATATAATCATCATCTCTGATTTTTATATAATTATTAATAATTTGTAATACTTCGCAGTTTTTGATTTTATTAACATTGAATATTACATAATCAAATTATTAAATTTGAAATATGTGCCTTTTCATCAATTATATCATCATATGATTAAAATGGTAACGAATGTCAATAATCTGTCATCAATCACATTAGTATAAATTAAACACAAAATGATCATAACATGTAATTTGTGATGCCGGTAAATTTGGATCTTGCCTTATTTTCTATCATTATTCATTTTCATTTGACTTGTCCTGGGTGAAATTTCCATTTTAATTCATCTATTTCTAGTAATAGCAGTAATGATAGTAATTTTTGTGATAACCTAAATGATGCTCATTTGTAATGTTTTCATGTAAAATTTTTGGAAATTTAAAAAAATGAAATTTTTAATCAAGTTAAAGAATATTGACTCATGCTTCGATTAAACTAAAACATTTAATAATATACGACTAATTGCTAATGCCAAGTTATTGTTATCGGTGTCTGATTTTTATCTGTCCCCCGATTCACAGAAACTTATGTTGAATTCTTGAGAAAGAGACACCACTTCCAACAATCTCTCGGTACAGCCCTCGTACCAGTCCATCGTTCCGACACACGAGGAGTGCTAGCTATCAGATGGGAAACTGAAAATATATCAAGACAAGTTGCTAAAAAAGGATTGAGTCCCTCAAGGGGGTGAGTTTTAGTATTTTCTAGATTTATATTTTGACAAAAATATAGCTTTTGAATATTTGCAAATTCATTTTTTGTTATAATATTTCTAAACATTTTTTTCATTGACAACTGTCATGTAAATTTTGAAATGAAGGAAAATGAATTTAGACAATTGAAAACGAATTTTATTTTTTATTTCAGAGCTTTTGAGAGTTCTTCGTCTTCTGAAGATGAAGATGCTGGACAACGAAGAACTCAAGAAAGAGAAGATGACATTGATTGGGGAGCAGGTTAGTGCAAGAGTCAACAGGATTTGGGCTCAAAGAAAAAAGCTTATATGATAGGCATTCATTTGTTCATTTTAAGTATGGTACAAATTTAGTTAGCATTTTGCCTAATTATAATATATTATTACCCAAAAGTGCATTTCGCAATTAGGTAGTTGTTTTGTTGAATTGTATCTAGGATTACTTTTTCTCCAGCTCATTTTAACTATCTTGATATTTATAATTCATTTGACGCTTCATTTTTATTTTTTCAGGCATTATTACGTTTGAAGATGGAGACCGTGAAACTGCGATTGAATTGATTCTGTATAGAGATTTACAAAATAAAGATTCAAATTTTAAGATTTCTCTGATCGATCCTTGGGATAAAGTAAACTTTGGAGTTAGAGAAACAATTGTTACAGTGTTGAAAGATAGAGGTAAACACAGCTTGGTTAATTTTAGAAAAATATTCGTTGCGGGGTCGTGTTTCAAACTGCCTATCCTTCTTTCCATTTTTTGTTTTATAAGCTTATTTATGCCTTTCGTTTTTAAAATTGCCTGATACAAGGAGACACTGAAGTATAGATTTATTTTTATTATTGGGGGACCAGAATCTATTTAGATCGACATTTCCTATCCTATCCATAATTTCTGGGTGAGGGAGGGGGGAATGTTTCCTGTACTGCTGGAACCACATGGAACCTGTGTCACAAGGATACATGAATAAGATGAAGTTGAGAGTTTATGGAAACAAAAGACGACAATCCCATTTATTATACTTTACGAGTTCAAATCCCGAGTTCAAATTTTGATTTTTTACATTCAAATTCATTTTCAGATGCTGGATCTCTTGGATTTGCCAAACCAATGTATGAGTTTAGTTGCAGTGATCGTCAATTAGTTGTTCCAGTTCATAGAAGTTCCGGTGCTGATGGAACAGTGTCTGTTCCTTGGTTTACAAGAGATGGAAGTGCTGTTGGTAATTTAATTATTATATATTTTGTAAATGTAGGATTGTGGATTCGAGTCCTGTGGGAGATGTGATATCTTAATGGATATTGCTGGGCTCTTTAGTTGTCCATAGTTTTTCAGAAAATTGCTGGTTCACCCACTAAATACCTCCATGCATATGCCATCTTATCAGCTTTCTTCTCCCCCAGTACTAATATGAATGTTCCTAGAACGATAGAGTGGTATTTCACTAATTCAACCTTGATTGGTAATAGAACAAAAGTCTATGGTGTGCCATATAGTCAAGCTGCCTCATTGGCTCTCTTCTCAGGAAATTATTATGAAACATCCTATCTCTTAAAATTCTCACCAGTCCTAAGAAATCCTAATTACTGAATATTCTGATTTAACATTTTTTTTAATTATCAAATACTTTCAGGTGGAACTCACTACCTTCCGGATGATGGCAACCTGGTGTTCAGAGATGGTGAAGTCGTTCAGAAGATTGTTGTACCAATGCCTATGAGAACTCCTATATTTGGTGAAGACGAAGTCGCTTTCGATGTTGTTCTCGGAGAACCTACAGGTGGTGCGACTTTAGACGACCATGAAACGAAAGTTGTTCTCAAGAACGATATTGGTAAGATATTACGAAATGAGATTTTTTCAATTAATTGAAAATTTGACTTGGGGAGTATAGCTATAACTTTGTAGATCAAATGCAGTGTTATATATATAAAGTTAGTCTAACCTCTGTACTTGAATTTGACTCTAAACCATTTAAAACGACGCTTGAATCTTGTTGGCTAAAAATTTTGACTTCAACTTCAGCTCCTGTCTCATCAACTTTCTTTCCTGTGGTAAACATGTGAAATTTGCGAAAACACAATAGCACCCTGTGCCCATTTAAAATCTCGAAAACAAAACCCCTTTGCTAACTGTGCTGCACACTTTAAACTGTGCACACCACTAAATTTATTATTTACATTCCAGTGCCCAGTTCTATTGGATTCCTCAATCCCACTCATGAGTGCCCACAGTCTGATGGCACAGTTAGTGTGACGGTCATACGCAGCGAAGGAACCATGGGAAAAGTTACCGTGCCATGGAGAGTCGTAAGTGCTCCTGGAAAACCTAGATCAAGATATGAAGGGACAAATGATACAGTTACTTTCAAGGATAACGAAGATCAAAAGAGTAAGTTTGTTGATTGCCTCTGAAAGTCTCTCTGCGAGCTACCCTATAAATGCTTCCTCGTAGTGTTCGTTCTTCGTACCATCCTTGTTTTAAGATTTATCCTTTTTTATTGAACCTGCATCATAAAAATTAATCTTCTGTTGAATAATATGAATCAGAATTCACAAAAAAATGTATAGTCATGTCTTTTTGGACAAAGTGGACCTATGAATTGGTTTGTTGAATTCTCGTTGTTTTTGAGAAAAAATTGCTATTCTAAAATTGGGACTAAAGGATTAATCACTTCCGTATTTTAAGTATGGTACTTAAATAGGGCTGAAGTCGCCAGAAGCCTATACATTTTTTCAAATTTCTTAAAGTTCCCTTGAGTCTTACAATAACCAAAATTTCACTAATTCACAAGGGGTCATGGTACTGTAGTTAGTAATTGGACATTTGTGTCCATTTATTTGAGCATTGCTTCCTTGTTTGATTTTTGTGACTTTTTATTTAACCACCCTTAATTTTCATATCAGGCATTGAGCTTCCACTGCCCAAAGGATTATTACCAGCAGAACAAGATTTCTTTGTCTTAGTACTTGATGAACCGAAGTCTGGTCGAGCTCAAATTACAGAAGTGGATCGATGCTATGTTACCATCGATAATGATATAAGTAAGCATTTACATATTGAGTTGCTAGTGGGCACAATGGCCAAGTGGTTTACCGGGCTTAGTTATTATAGCATTGTAGATTAAAAATCTCGGGGTGAAATTCACACAACAATGATTGTGTAATAAATTGGCTATGCTGAAACTCAAAGGTTTCGATCCTTTCGAAATGTAGTTCATTAGATAGCATTAGATGCTCATACAGAGCGTTGTTGAGAGAGAATAGTGATCACTTGTATTGAGCGATTTTAAACGTGACAGACTTATTGATAATAAGTTGCATAAAATAATTTGAAATTTCTAGTAAATTGCTGAAATAGTGAAAATTGCATCAATTCAGCAGATATGCTTAAAACGATGAAACGTTTGTTTACATTTATTTAGTCGCCTCAATTATTTATTATTTATTATCATTAGTCTATCCAAACTGACTGTCTTTTTATTTACAGCTATGGGAACATTCAGTCTGTCATCAGAATCCTACTCATTCAGTCAAAGTGAAGGAAGAGGTTGTGTGACTGTTATTCGTAATGATGGCACCGAAGGTGAAGCATCTTTGTCTTGGAAGGTTCGTATTTTTGAATAGGAATTATAAATTACATACTCTTGCGTTTAAACAATGTTGGATCAAGTCAAAAAGTCAAGTCTCCCCAAGACTGCTTTTAAACATGTATTAACTTATCATAACTTTTATCATCGACTCTTGATTATATGTTGAGTCGAACTGAGTCATTTTTGACTGGAGTAGAGGCTGAGACAAATTGAGTCGTTTCTTAAAAGTAACTCGAGCTGAGTCACGATTCGAACCGACCTAACATTGATAATATCATTCAATATTGTTTTTATAATAATTCGATGAACTTATTTGTATTGTAGCTCAAATCCAACTCATCAGCTCCAACCATTCTCCATAACAAGAGAGGAGTTGTTGAATTTAATCCTGGACAAAATACAGCTAAGATTGAAATTCCGCTGCCTAAGGATTCAGAACATGACCAGGAGAGGTAGAATTTTTGATACGACTTTTTAAGCTATATTAGTATTTATATATTGGAGGATTGCTTCTGCTTTTAAATTCAGTCTTTCTAAAGACTAATGATAAAAATTTGAACTCGTGACATCCATAAATATGAAACAATCTGCATTTCCATACTGATTATAATATTAATTTTTGTCTTGTTTCTTTCTATCAGTTACATTCTTTCCTTGTCTCCACCTGGTGGTCGTGGAAAACTTGGTGAACCAAAACAAGCTGAAGTTCTTCTTGTCAATGATGTAGAAAGTTCTATAGGATTCCCCCAACCATTGTTTGAAACTCAGGGAGATGTCGACACATTTATGTTACCAGTTGTTCGTGAGGGTCCAAAAGGAAGGCCTGTGACTGTTCAGTATGAATTTAGAGGTGGGTTTTACGTTGAAACAATGTTTTAAATAATTATCACTCTAAACGAGGCCTTGTACAAGCAGCTACAATATTTTGTAGAATTTTGTCAGAATATTTTTCAAATTTTCTCTGAGTCTGACTAACGTTTTGCCCAAAATTTGCCAGTTATTATATTTCACATACACACCTATTTTCACACACTTGTATGTGTCTTTCAGATGGAACAGCGAAAGATCTCCAACACTACATTGGAGAGAAGGGAAGCATCGACTTCGATGCAGGAGAAGACGCAAAGAATATTCTGATCCCTATTCTTAATGATCCTGATGGTGATCGAGTCGTGTTTGAGGTTGAACTTCATTCAATAGAAGGTCCTGGAAAATTAAGTGGAAACGCGAATGCAACGATTGCAATTGACAACTTGGCAGGTAAGAAAATCGCATTTTCAAAAAGGGAAAGCAATTTAGCTAATTGTTAGATGTTACACCAGATGAGAAATTAATTTTTATCGTCATTAACCAGTTTGTGATAGTCAATAGTAATCACCAATTTATGGCGTGTTTTTAAATACCAAAATGTTCTGCTCATCATCCATTATAGGTGCAAATCCTGTAGGGAGTGTCATATCAATTGACTTCTCTCAGGGATCTGTCTTTCTGTTTTTGTCTTCCCTTATTTACCATACCCATGCTTCGATTCGAGTTATTGGCTCAACTGTAACTCAAAATGTCTTGAGTCGCATGAGTGCAACTTATTTCAGTGATTGACACGACTTTGAACTCAACTCAAGACATGGACGATCTATGACTTGACTTGCGACTAGGCTTATTACATCCCGTAATGAGACAGTTTTAGTAAATTTCCTTTTTTTGAGATGGAATTGAAAATGTGGAGACATGTTCAGGGCAGGTCTGTGATATTTGTGTACCAAGCGACTAATTTATTTTTCCTTAATTTAATATTATTTTCATTTTTAAAAGGTCCTGGCATATTCATCATGGCGGCATCTGAAATGGATGTGAACCAGAGCTCAGGAACAGCATGTATTACAATCCTACGTACACATGGTAGGAAAGGAATAGTAGAGGTACCATGGTTTTTAGAACAAGTACAAACAGCTAAAGGAACAAGAAAGCCAAGCAATTATGACACACTAGAAGGAAAAGTAAGATGTTTCACATTTAGATTGATTTTTAAGTACAAATGTTGCCAATTTTTGCTTAAATGGGCTTATTCAGTAATGAATATATTAGAAATGTTGAAGAAATGAGTTTGAATTAAATAATTATTGGGTCTAGTGACCTAGTTGTTGAAGTGTCGGACTTAATTACACAGGTTGAAAATTTTGGGTTCAAATTCTACACCTATTACATTTTAACCAAAGTATAATAAATTGAGTAGGAAATCCTGAATCAGATATATTCTGGTTATTCTAAAATATAGTAGTACCTTACGTATTAGCTGCTGCTTAATATGGTCTTGTTTGGGGGACAACACAGAGCCCCTAGACTATCTTATCATCTTTTCTCTTCTATGGAACAAATACTAAATAACCTGAATTTAAATTTCTGCTTGTCTAGATCCTACGGTAATTCAGAGGGTAAATCTGGTCTTAAAATTATATAAATACTTCGTTATCTCATAGCTTACATTCAATGATGGAGAAGGGCAGAAGATTCTAGAAATTCCGTTAGAGACAACTCCACAAGATAGTGATGTTACTAAGTTTGACGCTGTTCTTCTAACTCCAACTAATGGTTCTGGAGCTACGCTGGGTGACGTAACAAGCACAACTGTTACTGTAAATAACGATTTGGGTGAGTTTTGGTAGAAAAATTTAAAATAGGAAACTGAAAATTAAAATCTAGTATAATCGAAAAATAGTAATAATGGTTCAGCAAACTCAGCTATAGCTAAAGCCTTATCCGAATGATACCAATTTTAAACCATGGGAACACTTTCCATGAAATATGGGAACACTTCATTCCGCCATTCTTGTGTGCCGATCTTTTCGAAACACTCTGCGCTCATCTAAAGTCTTCAGCACCAGTATAGTTGGACAATATTTGTGTCCATATATTTGCCCATTGCTTTCTTGTAATGAACTGATTCTTTTTAGATGGAGGAACTCTGGAAATGGCCGCTGAAAAAGTTGAAGTTAGTGGCACGGATAAAGAGGTTGTTGTTCCTGTTGTAAGAACTGGAGCAATTGATAATAAATGCTATGTATCATGGGAGGCCGAAGATATGTCTGCTGTTCGAGGAAAACATTACAAGGGTGGAAGAGGAAATGTCAGCTTTGAACCTGGAGAAAAAAGGTTTGACTTTTTTTATTATATATTTAAAGTAATAAATATAATATGGCATATAAAAATATATGTTGAAGCCTTTTTTATTTCTTTGTTGCATACAAAAGCTTTCTTTAATTGTGTATTGAGAATACTTATTCAGCTTAATGCTTTTTTACTTTTTGTCAGAATTTTTACTTCGCAAGCTCATTTTAGAGAAAATTTCTTAAAAAATTTAAATATGTACAGCAGTACATTCCAAAGTCAATTTAACTTTTTCTGATTTTTTTCAAATTTTTCTGCAATAAATTATATAATAAATTAATATTCTCCAAAAATTTACTAGAATTTGGTCATGATCCAAGTTCTACCAATTTCTCTTTTTCTAAATATAAAATTATTGATTTACAGCAAAAAGATTACGATCCCCATTGTCAATGATCCAACTGGGGAGGATACGTCATTCAATGTTTGCCTCGGAGAAACCAAAGGAGGGGCTAAGCTGGGTGAAAAAACAAAGACAGAAGTCGTTATGCATCACATCAGAGGTATGGTAGTTATTTTATATATTGTTATATATATTTAGTTATATTGATCCTCCCCAAAATAGTAGCTTGTTATATATAGTTAGATATCAGTGTATGCTTGTGTAAGGCTTTGTTAATAAAGAAAATTCACAAATTTTAATGTATTTGCGCAAAAAATATGTTAATTTGTTTTTAGTCATTTTACATTTTGTAATTAAATTTATATTTTTATCTTCAGAAAACGGAGAAATTTGCTTCGACGAAACGATAACTCATGTGAGACAAACTGAAAAGAAGATTGTTTTGACATTGATTAGAAAAACAGGAAGTGTTGGAAGAGTAGTTGTACCATGGTCCGTGAAAGATGCTCCAGAGAATTCACCATATTATGTAAGTAAACTTCTAAAACCTGGGCTGAAATAGCTTAGTGGTTGGTTGAAGCGCGTCAGCAGCACTATGTCTGACTGCTCAGAAAGAGTCTTGCTTGAAGTGGATTAAAGCGTAATATAAAAGAACTGTGGAAACTAGTTTAATTTTCTCATGTTTCCCAGAATTAAAATGTAAATTCTATCCTCGACCTTCTGTTTGGATTGGAAATAATCATATTCAAAGCGAGTTGAATTAAACCATGTTCATTTAGGTGTTTTATAGTTGAGTAATGCGTTACCAACACTCATTTCACAAACTAATATTTGATAATTCATCACTTAGGGAATGCAAGGACAAGAGAAATTCAACGATGGAGAAACTGAATCTCATATTGAAATAAATCCACCTGCTGGTCCACAAGAAAATGATCAAGAAACATTCAAGTGAGTGCTCAAGTATATCTGTGAGCTTTTGATTGAGTTATATCTTATTTTGTCTGGAGAAGTTAGACTATGATGTTATGCTTATGCGCTAAATACTGAAACTGTTTGTTTTTAGGGTTGTACTTGGACAGCCAATTGGAGGAGCATTCCTTACAGGAGAATGTGAATGTTCTGTCAGCGTGGAAAACGACGTTCCATACAGTTACATTAGTTTTGCTGATGAGTTATGTGAAGTACAACAATCACAAGAACACATTGAATTACCACTTATCAGATCAAAGAGAACCGAAGGTACGTATCAAGTTTTTTTTTTAGAAGTTTTGAGGACTTGTCATTTTGTTTCTAAACACAAAGTCTGATTGAGTCAAGGGCCCTCCGAGTCACGAGTCAACTCGAGTCTCGAGCCAAGTTAATCACTGAGTAAAGTCTGCCATCTGAGTTCAGTGTGAGATGGAGTGTATCACTGAGTTAATTCTCACTGGAAGTTAGTTGAGAACGACTTCGAGCCATTTCAGTATACTGACTGAGTCAATTCAGGTCTTTGATGAACTCTAGTTTGACTCCTCCTTAATAGTTTGACTCCTCCAAAATTTTAAACTTTTGCCCTACTTATTTCAGGTCGTGTACGAGTGCCTTGGACTACAAAGACTGATACTGATGCTTCCTATTATGCTGATTTGAACGGTGTTGAAGTGTTTGAAAATGGAGAGAAAAAGTCTCACATTGAGGTTCAATTATCTAAAGTGCCATCGGAGACAGACACTGATACTTTCCAGATTGTTTTGAACGAGCCGAGATCACCGGATGCAAAACTTGGAGATATTCAGTGCTGTACTATTGTCATTCACAATGATATTGGTAAGTTTTTAAGTGTGGAGGTATGAAATAGAATATTGAAATAGGCCATTTTTAGATTTATTAATTTTTGAAACATTACTAAAACTGACAAATAATTAGCAAAATCATAAAACAAGCTGATGTTACAACCATGCCTGAAAACTGAGTAAATCTGAGTAAAAAAGTATTTGAGCGACTGCTAAAATTTTAATTGTCACATCATCTTTGCCATCTCGCTGATTAGCCAATGTTATCGAAATAAACAAGGTCGACACACTCAGGAAAACATCCAATGCCTTTTACTCCAATCTCTCTAAACTCTATGCTAATCATAACAGAACTACCGTTGGTAACATTCGGCGACCAGGAACACAAGGCATCACAGAGTGAAAGTAGAACTTACATTACAATTAAACGTATCAGGCACCCAACAGGAAGAGTCATCGTACCTTGGAAACTGGTTCCTGATGACCCTGAATCACCATATGCTGGTATCGTTGGTAAGTATTGGACACAAAGTCTACATATGGATTGTTGTGAAAAATTGTTTTTTTCTGCCAAATTTCCAGTACTCAAAGATGAAAGGAGTAGCTGAAAGGCTATTACTCGAATTTCACCCTAAATCTTGTTTTTTATTATGTAAATAGTAATAGGAATTCTCATGAAACTATGGAAAAACTAGTCAACTTTGGCTATAGTTGCTTGCAATTGCATCATTTCTATCTCATCTCTATTGTGTAGGTTGTGGGGTATAATTATGTGTGAGAAGATTGCAGGACTTTGGCGCAGGGTGATACACTCAACATTTGGTTAGTTTTGCTCTCCTTCACAATTAAGTCCATGCATCTGAAACGAATAACTGGCTAACTTATCTCATATTTGGATGAGAGGCTTTGGTATGCCATATGAACAAGTCGTCTCATCTGATTTCCTTTCCCCGGGATGCATATAAAAATCCTATTCTATAAATAAAAAGCAAATCAAAAATTTCATGATCCAACTTTTTTACGATTTCTATTTTCCTAGGTGAAACTGTTTTAGAAGATGGGGAAACAGAAGGAGTTGCAGAAATTCATCTTCCGCAAGTTCCACTTGATAAACCTGAAGATAATGTTGTCGTTTTGCTAGAAGATCCAATTGGGGCAAAACTCGCTGACAATGCAATTTGTAAATTGAGTGTAAATAATGATGTTGGTGAGTAAGAAATGGAAAATTTCAATTCTAGAATTATATATTATGTATAAGTAGGTACGGAGGCATAACAGTTTTTTTAAGATTAATATGAAACTCCACTATCGCATTTTCCCTAAACATTCCTACTCTTCTTACAAAATATTCTTTTATCTCTTTTCAGGTGTAGGAATTGTTGAAATGAGATCTCCCACTCTGACGTGTTGCAGCGATGATGGCCGAGCATCTGTTGTAGTTGTTCGTAAAATGTTTCAAGATTTCCCTGCGAAGGTCAAATGGGTCACAGAGGATGAAGATGCTCACCATGGTGTTCATTATGAGAATAATGGTGGTATGTATAAAATTGTGTTTAAAATATGTTACGAAGTACGACTATATTATAAGAAAAGTGATGGCAAACCACTGGCCCGACTGACCCATTATTTTTTCAATGTCACAAAAGCATACTAACGTTTCAGTGAGAAAAAATTCATAATAAAGTGCCCTTGATTCGTTCTAGCAATGAGTGTGCTATAATGGCCTCTTCTATATAGAGATTTGCCTTATACAGCTGGTTTAATTATGAGGGCCGTTACACAAGACGCACTGCCAAATCGAGTGGTATTCCATATTTTCGACACAAATTTCCTAAAATTGACTACCAAAAATCGCCTCAATCATTAGCAAAACTACACAATACCTATGACTAACCATGATTGTAGGACTTCATTCAAACTCAAATTCATTTGGGATCGATATTCATTTGCTGCAGTATGCTGTGCTAGCAACCACTGCACCATTATGTAAAATAACTTGTTAATTTTCAATATTTTTTTTTTCAAGGTCAACTGGAGTTTAGACCAGGTGAAGCTGAACGTCCAATTCCTGTTGGATTAATTAACGATCCAACTGGGGAAACCAGACATTTCAAGGTCAAACTAATGGATCTTCAAGGTCGTGATAAACTTGGTGATATTTCGGAATGCAGAGTCAGAATTACCAATCAAGCCAGTAAGTTTTTGTTAGTTAGTTAGGAATCCGGAATTCATTAAAAATTCAGAATTTGTCAAATTTTGCTTCATTTATTTAATGCAAAGTCATAAATATAAATAGGTTTTCAAATCTCTTTTAACAACAGGTTTTTTCATTTGAAATTTGGCAAATCTTGAATTAAGTAGTTGATATCACTTGATAAAAATCTTGCATTGAAATCCAATGTTCAGCATCTTACCCAGGGTTTAAATAAGTTGGGTCAGTGCAGTGGTGAGGAACCAGAAAAATTCCGACTCTTAAAATGCGCTAGCTCCTTGCATATCATTGGCTGCTTATATAGAGACTTGTTCATAGTGGAGAAGTATGAAAAAAAAACTTGATATGCATTATTGATTAAATTTTATGAGAATATACTTCGCTATTTCTTTAAATTTTTGACTGAAAAAAAAATCGTTTCATTCATTTTTGACATTTTTTCAGCTCCCCCACCACCAGTACGAGACTTCCAAGCCAATTTAGTTGGCCCGCAAACAGTACTAGCAAAATGGTCTCCTTTACCAGAAGGCACACCATTGGAAGGCTACAAGGTTACTTATTGGAGTGGACCAGGAACATCTAAGACTGTTAAAGTTGGTCAGAAGGTGAGTGATAGAGTATAGTATATCAGAATATGGTCATATTATCATATAGAATGAATTTACTGGTTCGTGGTCATCGTATAAGTCATCTGATGAAGGCACTCCGGAAGTATTCGTACCAAGATGACTCACAACCCGAACAACCCTAACCTGGTACACATACCATGTTCAGATTGTGCGTCATCTTGTAAGATTCTTCGGGAGCACCCATTTGAATGCAAACTTGCTTGAATTCGACAACTTGATTATAGTTGTACTGAGTGACTCAAACTTATCATCAACATCAGTAAAACTTGGCTCAGTAATTCAATTCTACTCATGCTTGACTCGCGACTAGGATTACCTTTTGCTCGACTTGACTCAACTCAGAGACCTTTACCCAACACTCTTATTTAGGACGTAAGAGAGTTGTTCTCCTTTTGTCAGTAACAGAGTGACCATCCGAAAAACCGTACCGTACCGTAACTCACTTTGCAATATTTTCCTTAGGAAACCGAAGTGACACTCGACTCTCTTGAAGCAAGTACAACATATCAAATACTGGTTTGTCCTTACAATGATGTTGGAGATGGTCAAACTTCAGATAAGATTATCGTGGATACAGAACCCGGTATGTATGGATTTTTTACTATTTGATGGAGAGGTTGAATTTTGTCTAGACCTGAACTGCTTCAAGTTTTGCGTGAACGGTATTTACTAACACATAAATCTGCTCTATAATTCCTCATAGTCTTAGTGGCTCTTGGGGCTTCATTGGTTTTGAATTTTAATTATATTAGGATCATTTTGCTGAATTGTTGTTGTAAAAGAATCACTTTTCGGACCTCCTGGAGTATCCGCACCAAGATGGCGCACAACCTGAACTCAGGTTCAGGTTATGTGACATCTTGGTGCGCATACTTCAGGAGTACCCACTTTTCTTCTTAACTACTGGACCAATTGTGCTCAAATTATCAGTATTCAGAAATAATTGGAACCTCACTTTTTTCAAATTACCTGTGTGCTATAAGTTATATTTGACACAAAATTTTACGATTTTATTTCAATTCATGGGAACACTTTTATATGAAATTCGACCTTTGTATTCATACATTTTAGTAACGCTCTATATGTTTCTAATATTTGATATTTTTCAGAAATGAGGTTGTCATATGATTCACCAATGCAATTTAAGACCAGCATGAACATTGCTCGTTTCACTATCGAAAGAAAGCAAACAAACTTCAGATCGACTGTCGAATGTCAACTCATAAAGGAAACTCAGAAAAAACTCCCTCGATCGTATGACTCAAGTTCAGAAAGGTATGGATGTTTACTCAATCTCGTAATTTGATTGCTATGTTAAATTTTTGACACTTTGCTTTACACCTTAACCAAAAACTGATGAATAGCAATCAAAAATATGACAACTTTGGCACTGAACAGTAAACTTAGTCACTTAATGAATTTGTCTTCACTATTCGTCCAATTTATAACCTTCTAACTAAGTACAAAGATACTATTGAAGCAACATTATGAGTATTGTTCATTTAGAACACTCATGCTGCCCTATACATGATTTTATTTATAATAGAAAAATTTAACAATTTACAGTCAAAATTAGCACAGGGCTTATGGTAGTGTGGGGCCCACTACAGTGGCCTAAGGCTGGCCCTGAATTCATATACACGATGAGCAGAAAAAGTATTAATCACAAGCAAGTGTTTGCTTTTCAAAATTGAGCAGTAGCATTTGACCACAAGATTATGAGCTGTGTGATGAAATTTGTTCTAATGATGAACACTACTCGCCAACTGTTGTTCATTATTAATTGTATATTCACCTCATATTTCCCAAATTCACCTTTTTGTTCAATAGTGATGATGAGAGAGATGGAGGTGCAACCCCGATACAAACTACAGAATTAACCTTTGAACCTGGACAGTCAAGATTAACCGTGGAAGTTCCACTCGAACAAAAGATGAAGAAGTCTTCCCAAGTATATTCTATTCTAAATTTCACATGTCTCTGGTAAAATAGTTTCAAATTTAAATATTTATAGATGTATAATTTTTGATGAAGGAAAGTGGCTCAATATTTAAGCTTGCTGTACTGCAGAAAATTACCATAGTTTAAATTGAGGGCCACTGTTAGTCGCTGTGTGACCTGTAGCGTTCGTAGAGTTACCTTACCACCCCTACTTTTACTTTTGTTTGTTTATTTATTATCTAGGTATGTGTGTATGGTGTTTCCTGGATTACCAAATCAAAAATACTCTCTACATAGATTCACATTATAGGTTGAATTCCTGTATGGATCCACACAATGTAACACATCTTTTTTTTGGCAGAATTTTGGCGATTTGGAATTTTGGCGATGAGGTTTTGATTTAATGTACATCTAGTTTGATTTTTAAAATTCTGATATTTTTCAGGTATATTACATGAAAATCTTCCCGAAGAACAAAGACAAAGCATTGGCAAATATTGAACTTCACATTATCAATGATACAGGTGCCAAGATTTTACTGTGTATTTCTGACTACTAGTTTTGTACAAAGACGGTCAAGCTTCTAAAATTGTTCTCATGAATTTAAAAAAAAAAACAGCAAAATTTTGGGTGAATTATTGGGACTTCTTATACCTTCCTTCATCTTTAGGTACTGAAAACCTAAAATCGCTTGGTGCATAAGTTGTAGAGAAAAGTGAACAATTTTCATTTGCTAACCATATCTTTTCTAATATTCAGGTGTTCCTGGTCATGTTCGAAGACCATTCTGTGCAGCATCAACATCACGAGATTGCGTGGTTACATGGGAACCACCTATCGGAGGTGGACCAGTCAAAGGATACTATGTGGTTGCAAGAAGCGAAGGTAAGATAATATAATATTTTATATACACAAGTCCCTAAACCCTGAGTAGTTAGTCTATCATGCTAGTCTCGAGTCGTGTCCCACACCGAAGTCGAGTCAATATCCGAGTTTAGTTTCACTGTTGAATTGAGTCCAAGCCATTTCATTTTTATGACTAGAGTCACTTCAATTCTTTAATGATTGGTTACTCAAGTCCAACTCGAGTTTGGTCAATGATGGATATATAATAATTCATTTTTGGAAATTCATTTCAATTAACTTTCCATTCTTCAGGATTACGGGATATTGTCAAGAATGTATCGGATGGATCAACAAAAGTCCTATTAGAAAATTTAGAGCCATCAACAACATATTCAATAACAGTACAACCATATAATGATGTTGGGAAAGGAAAACCATCTACTGCTTCTGAGGCAACAACCCAAGATGGTAATAGAAAGCATCGCTTTTTTTATTTTTATCGATTGATATAAAATTGTTAAATATACTATGAGATGTACTCATTTATCTATTTAACACATCGCAAAAATATCAGAACTAAATCACTAAATAAATAATCACTTTTTTTTCTTCATCAAGTCATGAATCCCAATTTTTTATAATTTCAGAAATGAAAGTTGAATTCACACAAAAATTCTACACATTCAAGATGAGCGATAAAGTAGCCGTCATACCAATTCAACGTCATTTTACTCATGGATATGCTACATTAAAATGGCACACAACCTGGAGTAAAACTCAAGAGGAAGCAGAATCTTCGAGCTCATCTGAAGAGGAGGTTTGTTCGCTTTTCTTCCTGATAGCAACATGTCGTCGTTTTTCTCACGTTTTGTGATGAATCTGAGTTTATATGCAACTGGAACGAAAATTTTCTGTACAAATTCTTTTTTAAGGTTTAATATGAATTTCTTGTTTTTCAGGAACCAGAGTCTAAAGCTTGGGCATCAGGAACACTTTCTTTTGCTGACGGACAAAAAGAAGCAAATGTTCAAATTCCTCTGAGACAAGCGCAGACACCTACACAGAAGAAACGATCCTTCTTCTGGTTGTATGTTCTTGATCCAAATAGAAGAAAGAGACTCGCTTCGATGAAATGCAGCTTGATTGATGATAAAGGTATGAATTTATTGATTTTATTTAACACATTGAAATTTTCAAAATTGAAATTAATTTGTAGAATTATGCACTTGGAAGTTTTTTCGTAGAGTTAGCACATCTAAAAGACTAGAACACTCTTTTAATACTGCACACACTCACTCAGAACTGAAGGAGTAAAGTCATTGGTGACTACTCAAATGCCAGGAGGTTTTTACGAAATATTCTAAGTTATGGTTGTCAAAAGCATATTATGCTGATGGACATTTTATGCCAAAATTGAAGTAATTACAATCAATATAATTCCCTCACTTGTAATTCCATGTACTAAATGTTTAATTGTTAGTATAACATTTTACTGGTTTTGACCGGTATATACTGGGTTTGTTCACTACTTTCCATAAGAAATACTACTCTACTAAACAAGATGCGTCACTTAAATATTCCAAACTAAATATATGAAAGTATCCAAAAGATGCATTATGAAGCCATGAAATTCCAACCAGAATTTATTTCTATATTGAATAAAAATTGTAAAATGAACAATTTTTGTGCAGATATTTCATGGTATTTGATGCAACAAAAATTTTAAATTCTTGAATTATCAGCTTCAGCAGAAAATGTGAAAATCACAGTTCTGTAGCATGTAATTATTCACTAATATCAAATAAAAAAATTATAATGTTATGAATCTATGAATGAAATTACAACAAATTATTACTGAATGCATACATAGATTAAAAATGCATCAGAATAAAAAATTTCACTCATGTACGTTGGCCAAGATATTCCATTGTTAGTTCGAAATGAACTAATATTGAATAAAATATTCAATAAATGGTTAGCCAAATATATCATTTATTGATTTCCTGTATTTTTGGATTTCTCATGAAATTATAAGATAACTTCTGAATATATGGTCTTCTACCATTTCTGATTTAAAATTTATTCCAATTTTGATTAGCGAAAATGAGAAAATCAGTAATCTCAAATTTCGTTTAAAACTACATTTTTTTACATTTACTTTATAAATGAAACCTAATATTAACAAAGTATAAATCCTAAAAAGTCATAACAAATACCGTTCCAAATTTGACTATTCTTTCGATTTTTGCTTTGGCAATATTGTTCTTAATGAAAGGAATATCTGAGCATGGTCAACTTCTTCATACTACAAATCAAAAACTAAGCATGCATCTCCTTACTCTATTCCTAAACTTTCACACATACTGACAATATTTACTCATATAAAGGCAGTCAGAGAGTATGGCTTCTCCATGTCATAGCTCTTGACATGTTTTAGAAAATGTTGCAGAAAATGGCATGCATTGCTCTCCGCAAATATTCAACCATCTGATGCGATTGGATCGATTTCTTTGGCAAACATGATTCAATGTTTATTATTTGCTGCAAGATTCAACCAAATATCGAGCCATAAAGCGCATGAATCTTGGCTATTTCAGGAATCAAGACATTTCCCACAGGTTGTGAGGCTTAAAATCAAGCAGTCAGTGCAATCATCCAGTTCAGTGCGTCATATTTAGCCATATTTTATAGTAGAATTTTTTATGATTGTTAAATGAAATGAGAAAGCATTATTATAGGTAATCTTACTAACGATATGCCAGCACAGCCTGTCGACTGAAATAGACAATTCTACTACATTATCCATTTCTAAATGCACTAGTAACTTGCATGAAAAAGTAATTTCTCAATGCAATGTTAAAGCATGGTAAACGCATGACGAAAGAAGCGATGATGTCGAGCTGTGTTTTTTGTCGAAGAGTATTTAAACATATTTGAATTATGTAGTTGAGATTGAAGAATATCAAACACAGGGAGACATGGGACCTCCTATGTTCGGATTTTCAAAAGAGGAAACATCTTGTTGCGCTCTGTATGATGACACAATAAGCGTTATAGTTGAACGAACTGGAGACGCAAGTGGAGATGCACAGATCATTTATAGCACTAGAGATAATACTGCTATCGCTGGAAGACATTACACGCAAACCGAAGGGATTTTGTTATTTGATGACGGTGAAACCTCAAAAGCCGTTACCATTCCTATCCTATCTGATATGAAATATGAAGACCCACTTAGTTTTACTGTCGAACTCGGTTATTGCTCGGCTGGGGAGGACGCAGTTGATTTATACGAAACTAAAGTCAATTTGGAACCAACTAGTGTTGACGTAACGAAAGGTGAAATAGAAGGCGACCCTGGCATGATCGGATTCCGCTATCCTCGTCTTCTGTTTTCTGGTAAGCCATCTCGTAACGAGGAAACGTCTGTTTTCAAAGTTCCAGTTGATCGCACAGAGGGTACCCATGGCGACGTTTCAGTTGATTACTTCACACGTGATAATACTGCAATCGCTGGAGTGCATTATATTGAAGCGCAAGGCGAACTTGCTTTCAAACATGGACAGAGAGAAAACGACATTGAAATTAAAATCGTAACGAACGTTGCAAATTATAAAGATCTATCATTTAATGTTGAGCTTGGCGGCACAACTGGTGATGCTGATGTGGGACTCTATGAGAGTGAAGTTGTTATAGAGGCATGTATTAGTTATTTGCTGATGTTATTAAGAATACTTTATTACTGAAAAATGCATAACTTGCTATTTTTCATCAGGGCATTGGTGACATACCAAGTTTTGATCAGTCATTAGATGATACTTTCGGTGATATCAAACCTCTTTCACCTGATCAAAGTATGGATGATTTTGGTGGACTTGAACAGGTTCAAAATCAACAAATGTCTCCTACACAATGTATGTTCAATTTTTTTCACAAACCAATAAATTATTAACATTTAAAAGATTTTCTTTTTGAAATATCTTTTTTGTAACGAAAAATTTAGTTTTTTTTCTTTTATTTTTCAATTTTGAAAACCAAAAATTTGACATTTTCAAATACTTGAACAGATACTGGAGAAGAAGGTGTAATCGGCTTCACAGAAGAAAAATACAAAATCGGGAATACCGATAACGAAGCCGTTGTTACGGTTGAACGTCTTTTCAACCAATCAGGACCAGCCAAAGTTGAATGGTTCACAAGGGAGAATAAGGCTATTGCTGGCATAGATTATGTGGAATCACATGGCACTTTAATATTTTCCAACGGGCAACGCGTGCAAAACATTCACGTTCCGATATTGAATAGAAATGTTGGGGATGATTCGTCTGAAAAAGACTTTATTGTTGAACTTGGGGAATGCCAGGGTCAAGCAGTAGTGGGTCAATATGAAGCTACAGTTGCCATAGTGCCTGGAAAAGTAGTGTCCAGCACTGGTAACAATTTCATTTTTTAATTTTAATTTATAAAAATTTTTTACAACAAACAATTTTGCACAAAATTAAAAATCCAAAATTAACAAATTTTTCACTGACAGACACAAAAATCATGAGAATGTACCACAGATAGTACATTCCGAGCACTCTCCATAGTTATGAAATATTCAATTGAGCACAATACATATATGGATTTTTCTAATACTGCCATCAACAAACACACACAATATGAACACATTAAACTCAATAAAAATGTTTTAATTAAAATTGATTAATGTTTAATTTAAAAAATAACATCGACCAGAAGTAAATATTTTGTCTTTGAAAATACCATATTTTAAGGCTTTCAACCATATCTTCCCTTATTACCCTTACAACATTAAATACCTTTGTTATCAAAATTATGCATTTTGAGTAGTTTTGATTTCATCTAGGTTTGTGAATGTGTGAGGAAGCAAATGCACTGAAAATTTACAATTTTTTTATCCCAAATTTTAGCACGTATCACAGCACCAAAGAATGTTGAACTTGAAGCTTCCGGACCTGAATCAGTTATTGTCACTTGGAATACAGAGAATGTCAGTGCTCAGGAATATTGGGTGTGTAATTTATACTTTCATTTATCTTTGATGCAACTCAGAGTCAGTAATTGGTTTATTGTACTGAGAACTTACTCAAATACTTGAAGGGATTAGGGATTATCTCATCATGTTTTTTCAATTATTGTCTATTTTGCAAGGTGAGATTCGCCACGTAGTATATTTATTTTTCATGTTTTAAACAAAAATTGAAGTGTTGGCAAATTCGGGTTTGAAAATGTCCAATTGCCAAGTTAGCAGAAAACCTGGGTTTCCAAAATTCTTGAGGGTCTAAAATGCTTTGGATGCTACTGAAAATCGCTATGTTTGATACAGATAAATGCGTTTTCTTACATTTCAATGGGGGGCCTGGCTATGCCCCTGATTGTACACGATGCTCATGCATGCATGCATTTCCAGGTTTCATACAAAAGAGCAGGTTCAAGAGATGACGCAAGTAGAAGAACAGTAAATCCAGGTACAATATATCAGATGGATATTAGAGTATCACACCAAAAATTAAGCATAATTCAAATGGTTGTAGATTGAGATAAAACTGCACTTTTAAATTATTTTTGTATATTATTTTGTTTCATAAATGTTTGGCCAAGGCATCGTTACAAGTCAAACGTAAAAAACTCACTCAAAAGTTGCAAGTGAACAATGATATAGTTCAAGATTCTCATATGATCAATCTAAAAGACAAAAAAGTAATAAAAACTCACTCACAACCACTAAAAGGTTGTAATTAAACAATGATTTGGTCTGAGATACTAATATGATCAATCTAAATACTTTTTAGTATTGATAATGATTCTAAAACACTTGTTGCTATCGCTATTCTAATTCTGTGACTTCATTTTCAGCTACAGGCAGATTTGAACTGACGGATTTGAAACCTGAATCAACTTACGCAATTGTGCTTACTGCAATTGGTGAAGGAGGAAAGCAGGCAAGCACTGAAGTAATGAGCTGTACAACACCAGGAAACTGTAAGTAGTTTGTTATTGGTTGGATAAAGCGTTATTGGACCAATGGGTCATTTTGCTTAATTTTTTTCTGTGTAACTATTGGAATAAAATGATTTTGAATTTCATTATTTGAAGATTATTACTCACATTTTTTTTATTAAATTGCTGCGGTCATTGGATTTAATTTACAATTTTGAATTGAATCTATTCAATGATCAGAAAACAAATTTCTGTATACATTCATCTGAAATTGCATCAGTTTTATTATTATTATCATAATGTTGAAAGACATCATAAGTGTATGTGATCTGCTCAGACTTTCTCAGTAGTATTCTCAGGTGCAAAGTGAACTTATTGAAAACTCTTTAGCATATACACCTGATTTAACTTGCTTGCGTTAGCTCAATTAATATTGTTACAACATCAAATATGCTATCAAATCTTTCCAACAATTCATCAAAAATGCATGTAACATGGTTTCTATCAACCCCCTCCTAATTCCAATAATCCAATCCAATTTTGGAGCCATTTCAAGAAAAAAAAACTAGCAAATATTTTATTTATTGTTGCAGTACCTGGGCCACCCAACAGACTTGTCTTCCAAGTGTTATCACCATCATCATTGCAATGTTCATGGGGAGAACCAGCAAATCCGAATGGTACTATCACATCATATGAAGTCATGTATCAACTACTTGACAGTAAGTATTAGATATAAATTTTTTTTTTTTTTCGAAATAGGTATTACTTTCATTTCGAAATTTTTGATTCAACAACCTTCTGAAATAACATATTTTTCGTTCAGAATCTAAGAATGAACCCCCAGTTCTTGTAAGAATTCCAGACGGACATTACAGATCTCTCTTAGTTGAAGATTTGAGAGAAAATGAACCTTATAAATACAGTGTTCGTGCTAAAAATCAATGGGGATATGGTGAATTTAGACATGCAGATATGAAGATCGAACATGTTGGTACTAGACCTCCATCTGGTAAGTAAAGTATTGATAATTGCTGCAAATTTGAAATGCTTATTAGCATTGGTTTGTTCACACTGGTGCTGTGTGAATAAAAATACATGACAATTGGAAGCATGTCTGTGAAGTCTAGGAAAATTTTGGCCCACTTCCTGTTAGGAAATGTTGTGACTTCTGCAATATTGTGACCTTTGACCGGTGTTTATTGATGCTTGAAGATGACTTCCATGCATTCACACCACCTCACAACACAGACCCCGAGTTGTAATAAATTTAAATCTAGCTCTGAAGTATGAGAAAATATAATTTTGATAAGAAAAACTTTGGCGTATGCGAGCTTTTCTTGATAGACTGTTAGTAACACTTATAGTAGAACTTAATGCTTTCTCAGTTCCTGCAGAAAATTTTGGAATATGATGGGATTGATCATAAGAATTATAAAAAGCAAAACATTTTTTTTTCATTGGTGAACATATTTCCTGTTATAGACAGATGAATATAAAATAAACAATCTCCATAGAATCAGGCTAGAGTAGATTTTATATTTTGATATTTTATTCAGCTCTTTTCCTTGATGCGAATGACACAACTTACATTCAACAACAAGAAGAATTCATTCGTCAACAACAGTCACAAAAACAACAGCAATCGCAACAACTACAATTACAACAAAGGCGTCAAGTTGAACAAAGAGGAGCAGCTGGTGGTGATATGCAAGTTCAGGTGAATAACGCTAGACAATGCAAAAACGGCGTCATTTAGAGATTTTAGAAATATAAATTTTCTACATCTTTTGTAATTTTTATTTTATTATATGGCACAAATCAAGTTTTTCTACAATAAATATAATGTTTATAATAAGTTTTTAATTAAAAGCTATGATTCATTTTTGTACTGATTTATTTTACAAATATAGTATATATAAAGAAAGATAGTTAACAATACACTTTCCTGTTTTAATCATTGCTAAATTATCAGTATATATGATCTTTGTGAGTATGTAATTCCTTTTGTTTGAGCCCATCTCAAAATTAGTAGCATTAATGTACTGTGGCACCGATGCTGTCTGTTTTATTATTTATGCCCATTATGAACCTTCATTCATATTCATAATGAGTTGTCTGTCATGCTTAAAATATTAACCCTAAATTCCTCTGCTAGTCATTTATTTGTATTTTAGGAGTGGTATTTTATGTGTTATGCTACCTCTATTTTTCAATCATGTATTCGACTAATTAAATTTCATATTACATTTCAACAGGTTTCAGCAACTGAATATGCACCAACTGATGAAATCACAACCACACAAATGACAAAGACAAGAGTTACAAGGTTCGTGGTATAGGATTTTCATCATTATTTCAGGGAGTGAAATGGGAATAAGATGGCTTTTTCATATGGTGAACCACAGCCCCTCACCCTGTCACCAGTCCATGCCGTTAATGCAAACAGTTACCCAGTTATTCGTTTCAGATACATGGACTTTATGGTGATGCAAGTTGTGACCAACCAGCAGTTATGTAAACTACCTTATGACAGCGTCCAGTAACCCTCTTGCATATGATTATCTCCCACGAGCCTCGAACTAGTGCGATGGAAAGCGTGTTTCTAACGTTTAGCACGATGCTTCAATATTGCAAGGAGATTCATTACAATTTTATTTACCACTTCTTTTAACTTTAGATATCGACATAAAGAAGGTCAAGCAGAACCAGAAGTGGAAACAATGGAATTTGATGGAAGATTATCACAACAAGAACTCCAAAAAATGGCAGAAGAAGGAGGCAGATTAGAGGTAATTTATCTTTTTATATTTCAATTATCAAACTCAAAATAAAAATCACTTCTTATTTTATTTTCATGCAATTTTGCTCAAAGCAAGGGCCCTAGAAATAGTGATAGAAAAGTTACAATGGACCACAGATGCTCTGACAGCTGTATGAGTTTCTCCCTGGGGAAATAGTGATTGACTTAATATTTGAAAATTTTTATCTGGGTTAGGTTTATTTGACCCTTTCGAACCAGGAAGATCAGCATTTTCAGAAATAGTAGCTTAACATATCAATAGCTACCCGACCAGTTTATTTCGATCAAAAAACTCCTCTTTTCTGAACTAATTTTTCATTCAATAAATATTTCACAGAGAACACGGTCCCCTCTCCAGGTAATTTGAGAATTGAATATTGGAGTGTTATATTTTTTGTAACTGTGAATGAGATGCACAAAAATATATTTTGACACTATTCTTGTTTTGTTCTATTTCTTTCAATTTTGTATTATTTCTCGGTATGTGCTGTATTTGTGCTGCACAAAAACTTTTCTAGAAATTGTTGTTGTCGTAATGAGCATGTCATTTAGTGTCAGAAAACAAATACAGAAAAAAAAATTGTGATTTTTATAAACTAGTTTAAGAAATATGATTTTTTGACTTGGTATGATTTTGATGAAGTATTATTTGTTTTCTGGCATGCATTCAATATTGAATTTATATTAGTGTTTCTGGCAAGCAGCAAGCTGTGTTGCAATATTTTTTTGGGCAACAAATATAAAATTTTCAACTTGACTTCAACTTGAATATTTTTGTAGTATAAGTCCACGAAAACAATTTTATTTTGTGTTATTTCCGAACATAAATTAAATTTTAATGTAAAAATAATCTTCAAAATAATCCACTTTCTTGATTTTTTTTATATAAATATTCAACATGAAATGATCAAAATTTTAAACTAAATTATGAATGTATCGCTACTTATCACATTATCAATAACTAACATAAAATTACTCAACAAACTAATTTATATTTATTACTAAAGGTGCAAGTTGTTACCTACAACACCACACAAAGGAAGCAGACTGGCGGAGGAATGCAAAGTTATCAAGAAGTAGATTCCGGACAGTATAGTCAACAACAACAGCAACAACAACAATATCGTTATCAAGAAATGGATCCAGAATATCGAAGCGATTCTAGAAAAGAGGTTCATCAAGATGTTGAAGAGTTTACAGATGTGCAAGAAAGCAAAGAGGGTGATGCAGATGTAAGTAAAATGATCTTAAGCATATTTTTACATTTGCTCAAAACAAGTTACTCAAAGACCGATCTCTGAGTGAAGTTACCGATGACCACATCCTAAACGCCAAGAGATACTGTGAATATACATATTCATGGTGATGCACTATCTGTTATTAAGTACCGATTGATTTTTTGGAAAACCTTTGTTCAACACAAGGTACTCACTCAGTCAGTACACACTTCGGAGACTGATCTCGGAGTGTGAAGATACTGGAGAAGTGGAGATCATTCAATCACCAAGGGATTAATTAAAAAAACTCGTATAAACTGTGATTCAGCTTGACTATTGACTTATGGTGTTGGACTGTTCAATACCAGTTGTTTGTTTATTGGCCTTTGACCCTAATTAGAAGCATCATCAAAACCATATATTTCACCATCTCTGCATTTTGTTAACTAGGCCATCAATATACTGATTACTGACATTATCTTTTCTTTACAGGTCACAACAATTACAAAGACATACAAAACAACAACTACAGAACGTCAGCATGATACCAGATCCGGAGTTCGAAAAGTTGTGCTCAGTCCACAACCGAAAAAATGAGGAGGAAAATTTAAAGACTCCGACTACAAAATTTGTATCTAATCATTGTAAACCCTATTTTAAAATTTCAGTAATGGTTCCAATTGCACTTAAGCCATGATATTGGTACATAATGTATTCATTGTTGAGATGTAATATATTTCAAATTAAATATAAACTATTTTGAATGGATAAACTTCAGTTGGAAGGTATGAATAAGAATAACTTGACACTATTCATGATACAAAAGTGTCATTTTTTTAATAATACTATAACGTGAGATACCTTCTTTAATAACTATTGAGGGCTTTTTTAACTCAACTCGGTCAAATTTATATATATTGGTGAAAAACAACTGTTGAAACATACGGTTTTGTTACATTTAGACTCTTGGAAAATATTTGAATTAACATTTTCCTATTACTTTTCTATAATGCTACTCATATTATCAAAATTTCATTTCTAAATTTTTTAATTATGAAATCACTTCGCCATTTTGGGTTAAAAATGAACACTTTTTATAGTCAATTTTTTCATAAAAATATGCCTTGTATAAGTGCCTAAATCTATGTTTCTTGCCTTATATAATTACAATATGTGGCAACTCAAATCGTAAATGAAATTGAACTTTAATTTTAAAATTTTATAATTGTAATCAGTAATTTGAATAATTTTTTGCAAGAATAACTGAATTGTAATTTTTTCAATTTTCTTTTCTGTGTTTAAATTTATCATGATTTTTCAGAGAATAACAAGTATATATATAAAAAAATTCAAATACCATTGAAAATGCATCAATTATTCTGTCAACATGAATTAGGTTTTTTATACTATACTCAATTTTCGTTTCAAGGGCTGTTTGCATTAGGTTGAATTACTACTGAATTTTATTAAATTTATGCTTTTTATAACAGTGTGATTTAAGTTTCAAAAATACAAAAATTTTGTTTTATTCCATCGTCAACAAAAGTGTTTTTATTTAGAAAATTCACTCTAAAAACAGTTATAGTACACATTACATTTTTCTGTATATTTACATTTTTGTATTATTTGGGGTGCGATTGAACATAATATAAATCATTTGTGTAAGTTTTGAAAAAAATCAGATCTATTTTTTCTCTAAAAATTAAGTATTGAAAAATTCATATATTAAATCAAAAATATAAATATATTTTCATATTATCTTGATTTGAAAACTTTGAACTTGGAAATTCTCACCATCATTATACTTTTATTTTCAACTATATTACACTACACTTGTTTTGCTTGTAACTTGCTAATAATCATTTTGTTTTATGCTTCGTATATACTGCTAAATTGCATGCTTATTTTTCATCTAATGTGCATGTACTGCGGTGTCAAAATAAACTTCTAAAACGAAAGAATTGTATTTTATAAATCTTGTCTAGAAGGTCGGCGGAAATACGCGATGCAATAGTGTTTCCATATATTATAAAAAAAGTGTTTTCGTGAAAAATAGAACAGCTAATAATAATTGGGCAAAATAAAATATTGGTTCGAGAAGAAGTTTGAAAAAATGAATTAATAGCTCCCAGGGTATCATACCCACAAAAAGCATGATCCGATTTGAAAAAGGTAAAATGAGTATAAAGAAAAGGGAATTATCGAACGAAAAAATATGTTTATGATTGAAAATCAAATGTTAAGTATCACACATATATATAAAATTTACAGTTTAATCGAATTTTCCGCCTCTCGATAAGGATTATATATTTATATCTCGGGAATGAATTAGACAAGTAGAAATAAATATTGATTGAAAATTAGGCAAAACATGTTAATATCTTTACTAACAGTAAAATCACGTGTTCATGTTATTCGTGGGATTCGTCACGTTCCGAATATACTTGAAGTGTTGAAAAACAATAACAGTAGCTTTGGATTGTATTCTAATAGCCCAGATTCGGGTTGTTTCTCTCCGACGATTGGTCAAAATTGCCGAAAAACAACAAGCCCACAAACGTATCGTTGACGTGTTGCTGAAAAGGCATTTTTAATTTCAAATTTAATAATCAGCATTCAAAACCTCAATATTGACCTTGTTATAATGAAACATCTATAAAACATGGCTATACCATTAAAACATGTCACATAAAATTGGTCGCGACAATGGTGGCTTGAGAATAGGTTCATGCGATTGCAAAAATGGTAACTTATTTGCTGTTCTAAACTTTGTTTAATCGCCGATAGAAAACTAACAATGTATAGCGTTTTGTTTGATCTTCAGCCGGCAAGCAAGCAGCTTCATAATTGAGTCTAGTGATAATGTTAAAAAAACTAATAGAAATCATTCGACGCGGACAGCACATATAACGTCTGTGCTAATAAAGTAGAGACATAGAAGTGGAAAGCAGTTTAGGATCAGTATATTTTGTGAGATGACATGGCCTGTGTGTTTCATGAGCATTGAAATGAAGGATGTTTTACAGTAACTCACATGCAAAAATCTTCAGTATAGGAATCCTATCAAGCAAGTTTACAGCTTCGAATTTTCATCGCCGCAAAATTGCCGTGTCGACCAATGAAAGGGTTATATTGGTGTGCATTGCTGACTGTGCAAACTGTGAAAAATCGCTGATGTTGTTTGGACACAACGCTCACATGTGGACAATCGAATATATTGACATAAGAGTATAGCGTATATCGACGTGTAAACACGTCATAATGTCCACCCGGCCACAAAAGCAGTGCGTTTTGTCACGTACGCTTATTGTTGACTTCGCCATATTTCCGGAATAACGATTACCGCTGTCGATGCCGATATGCCTGCCATCGCATTGTTGTATCAGCATGCATACGCGAGTTATTTTGATCAACTGTTTGCTGATCTAACGTACACAACAACCTAGAAACGACTAGTAAAAGTAGTTTACCGCTGGGCCACATCATATAGGTACAGAAACAGTTTCAGTAAAGAACAATTGGGAACATAGTCTTTCCTAGACATGCTTGCAGTTGAACGAGATCGTTATTGTTTTGAAATACTTACGGAAAATATTTAGATTGATATCTTTGCGTTGTCCAGAATCAGTAATTAAAAAATACTGTACGCGTCTGCGATCAACGTACCGTAGTAAGTAGCCCGGAAAAATTGATAAGATGAGCAATCGATCTACCGCGGTTTGGCGTCACAAAGTACGTAAACATCACTAATTTTTACGAACAGCTAGAGTCGGGTTATTGAGATCAAAATCGTCGTTGCACTAATTACCGACATGTCTCCGGTTTCAAATGCAATATTAATATCCTTCCTCTGAAGTAAAACGAGCCTATTCCAAGCCACATGTTTTATTCATCTAACAGAAAGCGATTATAATTTAAAGCCGTCTACCAACGGCGGTTAAAATCTATTTGACGAGGGATATGCAATGTACAGTGTAGTCTGTAGTGTAATATGACGCGACAATCAATTTTGTGTGCGTAAATATGCACTGTAGTGGAGTATATAAGGGAGTGTGAGCAGCACCTACCACCGCAAGGTTTACCTTTGAAGAGTAGTCTAGATACGGCCCCTGATTTATAAATTTCAGTGTTATCTATACTTCATAAACTTAAGTTACTAACCATTCGCGATCTGACAAAGTCTCAGTTTTATTTAAAGGTTACATTTTCCGTCCCTTGTAATATTAAATATGATTTAAATTAATTTGATTAGGAGGTGTAGAGGTAATTATTTGCTGTATGAAAAGAAATCTGTAGACCTACGTCGTTTGTGTATTGCGTGCCGTGAAATTTATTAGGAATAACAACTAGTTTCAGACATTTTTGTCAATTTATTCGTACTTTAATGCACAAGTTAATTAGAGGGGATATCCACCGCCCGCTGATTTTGTTCGCCATTTCTGGCCATTTAAAAGTACATTTTGTTTAATAAGACGTATCTCTTTTTGATCCAAACAATATCAGAATCATTTCTGATGTTGTCTTTGAGTATGTGGATATAAAATATCACCAATTAAGTTTCACATCACAAATATTCACATCATATATTTTTAGACAAAATTTGTATAATATAAGAGGAGACAGAAATAGAAATTACAAAAATGGCAGAATACACCGAACTCGAAAACCAAGAAGAAGACGGAGGTTTAAGAATCATGGTTTGCGTTGACGGGAGCAACCACGCTGATGCAGCTTTTGATTTTTACGTGGGAAATTTTCATAGACCAGAAAACAGAGTAATATTTATCCACGTGGCAAATTTAATCATGCCGTCGAATATCTACACCGGCGGAATGGGTGTTATGATACCCTCAGGTCCTTCTCAAGACGATGTCCAAAAAGAACGAAAACGAGTCAAAGAGCTGAAAGAAAAATACCACGAAAAATGCATGCAAATGGGGGTCAAAAAACACGAGTTTGTAGCTTTTATGGAAGGAGATCATGGACTTGGAGCAACCATTGTCGACGCAGCAAAGAAGCGTAGTGTAAATACTATCGTGTGCGGGTGCAGAGGTCTTGGGGCCATAAGAAGAACCATACTTGGATCTGTGAGCGATTACGTTCTTCATCATAGCCATGTTCCAACTCTTATTTGCCCGAAAAAATCCCGGAACTGATTTTTGACATATTTATGAAACGCAAATATGAGTGTTGATTTTATTTTCTTCGACTGTTAAAGGAAATTGTGTTTATATTATGTGCTTGTCCATTAAAGTGAAAAGTGATAAATCTGAAATAACTTGTGGTTGTATAAATTGATGAATTAGGTTTTATTTTATTGAACCCCATCAGTCATAAATTCTAAATTGATATTCGTTAGCAATTTATTGCCTAATCTGCTAGTATGTTAGGGAGACTGTAATTCACCATGAAGCTACTCGCGTCTTAATATATACCCAAATCCTTATTGTATACTAATCATATGTAACAAGATCATAAATCTGCGTTGTGGACTCTGAATTTTATCGTGTTATTAGCAAATTTTTGTTGATTTATATATTGCAAAACATCATTGAATTCATTACTTTTTATCTTCGTATTTGCAATGATCGTGACAATATGACAATACAGCTTTATAATCATGCTCTTTCTTAGATAAAGAAAATAATCGAAAGCACTTCCGACTAATAGATGATGATATCCATGAGCAATTATTTTTTTGGTAATAAATTCATCTTAGGCCTATTTACACTGACAAAGAAAAAAGGTGATAAAATGTAATATTTTCATCACGCTCCCCTTTTTAAATGACAATTTTTTGAAGCCCGGCAAACAATTTGGGCGCGTACCTTTCTATAATTACATCCTCGAAAATTAATTTGATGAATATATCGTACAATTTGAAAATTTGTAACAATGATGATTTGGATAAATTTTATTTCTTCGATGATTTTTCAGATTAATAAATCGTGCTAAGTTACTGACTCCTACAATCCGATACGTACATCGTAATGTTTGTTACTCGAATATCTTTGATAAACCATTTTTTGTTCTATTGCACCTCATTCTATTTTACCCGTGATATTGAACTGTGCAAATACCATTCTAGTTTTTTATACCATTTGTTCAGACCGTATTTTTTCGCATGCTATCAGTAATTGAGTATGATGGGTTTTGAAATATAAATCAATTTTAGCAAAACCACGTCAATAAGGTGATTTGTTTATTTTATACTCAATTTGATTGTTTTATTGTTTCAGAATTTTGCAGTTACCTTAGATTAATTTGGTGTCTAAAAAAGCGGAGTTTTGGGAACTGATCTCTGCCATCTGAGTGTCAAAAAATGGGCACGATTTTACAACGGTATACTCGATATACGAACAAATATAAAAATTTAGCAAGCATCTGAACAACCCGACTCCAAGGCATTATAATATCCGACTCCGGGTTGACAAATATTTGGCGCCAACCACAGCACTAACAACAGAGTTCAGAAATCTCTGGCACTGAGAAACTCCTTTAAATTTTAGTAAATAATTTCGACTCAAAGTTCATTCAGCAACTCCGAATATGTTAGAATTTTGTCTCCTTCACCACAGACCTAGTTATAGTAGCAACAAGTATATATATATATATCGATTGCAAAACTGGTGTCTTCACAAATGTTCTGATTGCATGTGGATTGGATTTATCCAACATTAATTTACGGTGTAAGAACTACATATATTTCGATGCCGGTTAAACGTAGGTAAACACTAACATGAGCATGATGCGTTTATTTACTCAGAAAATTCTATCATATAAAGTAGAATTATGTGGCGACATAAAAGTTTGGCGTTGAACGTTTGTTTAATGTTTAATCTATATTGACTCAGCCAAACCATTTGCTATCCAGATAGTTATGACATGTCAGATAGAATAAAGGCGTCCAAGCAGTTTTACAGTTAGTAGTGTGTCTGTATGAAATTGTATCCTATATATATATTGCCTGTATTGTAGTGGACGTATAGATCAATGCAGATTGACCTATATCTAACTTAAGCTGAGCCACGGTGATCATTTAGTCGCTAGCAGGACTGTGGCGCTTGTTTTTTGCATCTTTTCTCTAGTATTGGGACTGTACAGTAATCGTGTTTTCGAATACCGTGAATTCCTCGCCTGAACCTACACTAAAAATTTTGAAATTCCCCGAATTTGTAGTCGCAATTTAATACTTGCAAAATTGAAATAATAAGGCTTTCAACCCCAAAGTTTTCATATCAAAAAATTTGTTATCCTAAAGTACTGGAGCGTGATAAAAGTCCAATTTTTTCAAACCGGAGTCAGTAGCCAAGGTTTGAGTCATATTCAACCCGAACTCGAATTTTACCCTGGCTCAGTCAGATAGAATGTGTCTCCTTAGCCCTGGTATTGAATTGACCTGAATTAGAATTTATCATGAACTATTATAAATGCAGATTTTAGATTGAAAAATAAATCAGCAGAAGCATACAAAAATGGCGGAACAAAATGAACCTGCAACTGGCGACGAAGGAGTGATAAAGATCATGGTTTGCGTTGACGGGAGCAAGCACGCTGAAACAGCATTTAAATTCTATGTTCAGCATTTCCACAAACCAGAAAACAAAGTTATTTTCATGCATGTTGCAAAACTGGTGATGCATTCGCATGTTTACACCGGTGCAATGGGAGTAGTACTGCCAGAGGTTCCAACCAAAGATGAAGTAGAAAAAGAGAAAAAGCGGGCGAAAGAATTGAAAGAAAAATTTCGCAAGCTGTGCGAGGAACTGGGAGTCCCAAAACATGAATTTGTGACGATAATGGAAGGAGAAGGAGGGCTTGGAGCTACAATCGTTGCTGCGGCAAAGAGGCGTAGTGTATCTTCGATCATTTGTGGATGCAGAGGTCTTGGGACCATAAGAAGAACCATACTTGGATCTGTGAGCGACTACGTTTTACATCATAGTCATATACCAACTTTAATTTGCCCCAAAGAAACATAAACTCACAATGCAAAAGATTCATTTAGCATACAGAAGCTTGGTATATTTTAATCCGAATTTATATATAACTCTTAATTTTTTCATCTCCGCATGAAAGATATATGCTGATTTTATTTTCGAAATTTTGGTGCATATGCTTAATATTTTCATTAGCATGTTAGCATAGTTTGAAAACAATTCATATTTGTAAATAATCAAAACTCAATTTTTTTCTTTTTTGCAAAAATTGTATTATTGTGATGTGTTGACCATGTACACTTGAATATTTTTGTAGTCCACGAGTCAACATATAAGCACACGTCCATAATATCTATTCCATTGTCCAAATAACCTATGATCTCATCTCGGTACGTTATCATTTTTGGAGATAACGCGAGTTGTATTGTCGCATCATGGTATATCTCTATACAAATTGAACTTCAGGGTTCACTGTACATTGTTGGCGCTCCCGAAGTATGTGCACCAAGATGGCGCACAATCGGAACCCTAACCTGGTACACATACTAGCATTCCAGCTTTAAATAGTGTTTTATCCTTTGTCACTTTGAACGTTGTAGATTTATCTTGCATTCTTTTCAGTATTGTTCTAATATTAGTTGTTTCGTGTTTTTGGAGTACAATTTAATATTTGCTACCTACTAATTTTTTTACAAAAAATTATCAGGGTAATTTTTGTACTTTATTATTGGATGATAATACTGATCGTTTCACTGTTTTAGCTCTCTAATAATCACTAGTTTAAAAAAGTGTTGCAAAATGACGGAGTACACGGAACTGGGAAGTCACGAAGCAACTGGGGGGTTAAAGGTCATGGTGTGCGTGGATGGGAGCCATAATTCGGAGCTGGCATTTCAATATTATTTAGATCACGTGCACAAAAATGGGAATGAAATAGTTCTTGTCCATGTTGCTGATTTGGAAATCTACCCGTCGTCCCACATATATTCTGGAGGAATGGGGATCGGGATGCCGACGGGGACGACTCACGAAATCTTGGACAAAGCAAAGAAAAAGAACAAAATCATCGAAACAAAATTCACAACCAAGTGCGAAGATTTAGGATTACACTACACTTTTTTAGCATTGCTGGAAGGAGGTCATGGACTTGGTGCAGTTCTAGTGCAGGCTGCACATGACCATAATGTAAATGTAATTGTAATAGGGTGCAGGGGACATGGTGTGCTTCGGAGAACCATATTGGGTTCAGTGAGTGACTATGTACTGCACCATAGTCATGTGCCTACTTTGATATGTCCACAACATGAAAAAAAGTAGTGAACGAGTGCAAATTTTGTCAAAAGAGGTATAATAATTAATTGCCAAATATATATTATGTAAAATAATACTAATATGTACATACTATATGATCCACTGTCGATTTCGTTTATAAATTTATTCAATGCAATTTCTTTAACTCATTGTAAAATATACAACGACTTCTGATATACCGGTACTGTTTGAATGCTTATAACGTTACATAATAAAATTGCATCAATTCTTTAGTGAATACTTCAGTACAACTTACACACGTACACATTGTCGAAAAATCAGTTTGTTCCAGAACTATTCAAGACAGACCAACTTTCACTATTTAATGTTATGTTATGGCAGATATAGTCTTTTTAATAGCGTTACCAGCCTCATTTTACTGGTAGGATGATATACAAATACAGTATACAGTACACACCTGGGAGTAAATAGGGCGAATGTACTTTGAATCTACGATCTACCACCGCCCATAAGCTTCAACTACTGGTTTTTCAACTGGTATTTGAATACAGCTCTATTAAAAAATAGGGTTGATTTGGACAAGCGACCCATTACAAGTTCAGGTACCGGGATCAAATTTGTTATACGATATAAGAGCAGGTATAAAGTTGACGATTGACTCATAATTTGCGCACTGCTGATCCGATTTGCCCCGATGCCAGGTTCAGTTTGGATTACTATTTGCGATTAAATGTGGTTGCCAGATTATTGTGTTTTCATTTATACGTCGGAAATTTCCCTTTGCCAGGTAGGTAAGTATCAGATTTCAGACGATAATGATTTAAAATTTGCAAACGTGGCGCCCAATATTACGACATTTTTAACTGGCATCTTGAGAACTAGTAATTACATGAAAAAGGGTTGACGTATATAGGCGTATATGCTCAAGTAAGTAAATATACAAACATCTTAAAGTTGGAAACTACTCGTGTCAATATCAATAACTGAGTTACTCTGGTTAGATATAAATTGAATGGTATCAGCCAAGATTTCAATTTAATTGAAATTGAAATGTTGAACTCGCGTAAAACAATAATAAATTATTTATGGTTATTCCGCAACAACTGCATGTTGAAAGCTCTTTGGATTGTAAGTGTTACGGCCGAGAAGGGAATGCAACGGTAGAAGGCATAGATATGGTTTCTGAGACTGCCCTATTGAAAAGGTCAAGACATGAGTTAAAACTAGGCCTACTTATTTTTTGTTTTGCACCGGGTAGAGTTTGAGAATGACTTTAAATTTACCAACACATGTTTTTTAAGACTGAATTGTAGAATTTACATCGTTCAACCAATTGCCACAAATGAAAGAATTCCTGCGTAATAGCTGATTATGTCTTAAAGGATACGCAATTATACATAGCAATTCCATTCTCTGTAAACCACAATTTCAGTTTGGGTTGGCTGTTTGCAGTTCTATTGCGTCATGAACAACGTTTTGAGGTTTAGGGTAGCGTAATTAATATAAATCAATAGTGAAACGCGTATTACTTGATGCTAAATTCACAATCGTTATAAATGCCGCTACTGCATTCGTCAACGGGGTCCGGATGCAGACGGGACTGCACCGTAAACAAATGGGCATGACGGGTGTCACGTACACGTCGACAAATTGAAAAAATTTTCAGCTGAATATTCTCTAGTCTGGAATGTAACCCAACACCGACACAAAAATGTACGTTGATGAATTCGCGCATGTTTACAAAATTCTGTGATGTATATTTAGTATAAATATAAAACCCACTGGAAGAAACATGTTTGGTTGTCACATTTGTTGCGCGGAGCAGATCGCTGTTTTAGCTATATTAGAGTCGTATATGTATATGTGCGGAAAATTTGCATTGGGAAAATAATGGGTTTCACTCAGTAAGTGTCATAAGTGAATCGATAGTTCTAAATTATGATGGACATCGCATCTTAAACTAATGACGTGGATAATTCTATATCAAGGTACTAACAGTAAAATGGGATAACCATTTGACGAATCAAAATACTAAGTCCAGATATCCAGTGAGATTACCAAACTTATTTACTAAATCGTGTAAAAGATAATTTATTTGATTTCAGCAGTCTAATAATTGTACAAGCTATATTTGACAGCATGTCACGACAAGTTCAAGAAAAACAGTCAGAAGGTTTGCGAGTCATGATTTGTGTTGATGGAAGCCATAATTCAGAAGTAGCTTTTGAACGCTACGCGGAAAAAATACACAGACCCGAAAATGAAGTCGTTCTGGTTCACGTTGCTGAATTCAATATCGCGCCTTCTCAGCTTTTTTTTGGCGCAACACCACCTGTAGGAATCGGAATCACCTCACCGTCAGCTTCCACTGAGAGTACAATTCGAGATTCCCTCGAAGATGAAAAGAGAAGAACGAAAGCAATTGAGACCAAATTTCGTAAAAAATGCAAAGACAATGGAATCAAATTTTCTTTTCTGAGATTGACAGACAGTGGACAAGGAATAGGTCAAGCAATTGTAGAAGCAGCGATAAAACATGACGCACAATTCATCGTGACAGGAACCAGGGGTCGTGGAATAGTAAGAAGAACTATTCTTGGATCTGTCAGTGAATATGTGTTGCACCATAGCCTAGTTCCAACGTTATTATGCCCCAAAGACTGTTAATTGAGAGAGATTGCGAAAACAACGTTGATTTGAAACTTGCCTTGGTAATTTTTTTATGAATACCAAGTATATATTTGTTTTTCAATTTTGCGCTGTCAGTGGTTGCGAATTTTTTAACCACATTCGTGGATATAAATATAAATGCTATAATGTTAATTCTGTGTATTATCCCGAAAAAGTGTTTTAAACTATTATAATTACTTTTATTCAGGAATATAATTTTGTAGTAAATACTTTTCCTCGCCCTGACAATAATTATCATGAAAAATATCGTTCACTCTTTTAACTAATTAGATTACCGTAATCTTATAATAAAAAAATTAACGTTGTAATGTCTAAGATATTTATATTTTTGGGTCTCGGTATACCGAAGGTTGATAATCTTTTTGTACAGAAAATTAGATTAACTAAATACAGCAAACTAAGTGTGAACTTTTATAATAATAAAGGTAATAAGATTTATATTTCATATTGTCACTTTTGAGACCCAGAAATGCTAAGTTGCTTTGCAGGAATTTTCATTGACAATATTCAAAACGATTTAATAAATTATGAATGAAATAATTAGCACCAAATACATTATCAAAGACAAACCTTACAAAATATAAAACTATTACTTACATAAAACGACTCCATATAACAGCATAGTTCCAAAACGAGAGATATACAACCAAGGAATGACAGTAACCATAAATGCAAAACAATACAAGCTGTAGACATTGAAGCATCATAATGTTATATCGAACAACTCGAAATACATTAAATAAAAGGGGACGAGATAAACGAGACTACAAAATTTATTCGTACCACAGTGCTATGGAAATTACTGCAATTCTAAACTCCTATAACAGCGTTTCCCAGCCTTTTTTGGTCGCGGACTATTTTCTCACCGGCGAAAGCCTTGGCGTACTCAACGTACGTTTATTGCAAATGTACTCTGCGTGAAGGAGTAATAAAACCAAACAGAACAAAATTTTAACGAATTTCAAAATCGGAAATTCGCCGCAATTGCGCGTTTGTTGATAGAGCCAACTTTTTTAGTGTATAAATGGCCTTTTCTGTCGCATAATTTTCAATCCATGACAACGACGAGAATATAAAATGTCTTTCTATTTTAATTTAGTTGTGTTTATGGTCACTCGCGGTTGCGTCGACTTATGACAAGATGAAAGCACTACTTCTCTAATGCCACGGCAATCTGCGAACATAATAATGTGAGAATGTATTGCCCGATTATATTTAGTTTTGATACATATTATTTGCGATCTTGCAAATTTGTTATCGCTGTTAGAAAAATCCTACTATCTGCTATAAATTTCCAAAAAGTACAACTTGATTTAGTATTTATTAAAAAATATAATTAAAGTATATTAGTAAATAAATTTTTTAATATTAATTTAATTGTGATAATTTTAATCTGCGGTTGTGTTGACGAAATAGAAGCAATACTACTCAGAAAATATCATGAAAATCCGTGGACACAAAAAGTCGTGGAAAAGTGCCCGATTATATGTTGTTTAGATTCATATTTTTGTGAATTCGACAAATCTGAGCTGTTTGTATAACACTTACGGCGCTCCAGTACTGTGCGTACCAATGTGGAGGCAGTAAAGCAAAGAATCCTAAGGGAAAATGCCCTGATACGGATACTACAGTATAGCACCCGAAATTTTGCGATTTGCAATGTCTAAAAAAACGTTTTTAATCGGTCGAGAACCATCATAGAACTTAACTTATGGTGTTTTCCGTTTTATTTTTAGAATTTTGTATTGCCGCTTTTCAATTTAGAAAATTTAGGTTGCCACCATTGACACCGACCAGAAAAGAAAATTATTCCTCGTTGTTCGAGCTCGCGAGAAACGCCACTTAGATATCTATCAACGCGTTTGCCGACTCGTGTTTTCGTCGGAAATCCACAAGTGAGTTGTGAACTCCAATCGTTTGACTAAGCGACGCGCAAGTGGTCTGTCGCGTCACCTGTTACCAAATTTTCGAATAGTTAATTGCTATTCTAATAGTTGAATATTCGAATATATGCCCAGCCCAAGCCAGTACCCAGTAATTATTGACTCGATTAATGGTATATGAATAAATTTGCTTTTTATATTTCATGTAAATTGTAACCTAAATCGTAACTTTGCTAATGGTCAAGTTTCGCAAAAACGTTTGCGGCCCGCTGTGAATTTCTGGCTCGTCGCGGACTCTAAAGATCACGCGAACTGCCGACAAATATTACATTTACCGAAGTGTGCTCGGTTGCTGATAATTTAAGGACGAGCTATGGTATTATGGGGAATAAAGATATATCTTGAAAACACTGTCTTAAAGAATGTACTTAATACGCTGAAGTAGGTGTACCAAGATGGCGGACACGTAGTATGTGTACCAGGTTAGACCATAATTTTAGGTACAAATATTAGGGTAGTCAGTCGGCTAGTTCTCGAACTCGTAATAGCACTACAATAAGAAAAATTGGAATAAAATCAGGGCCTAACCATAACCTGGTACATATATATATAGGACAGGATTTACATATTTATCCCGGGGGAGCGGAAAGCCGATAAGACGGCTTATCCATAGGGCGAACCACGGCCTCTTGTCCGGTTACCATTCCAAGTCGGGTATGGGATTAGTTATATTGTTTGTTTTTCGGAAGCATGGACTTGGTGGTGGAGGAAGCCATAACCGACCAGCGGTTACGTGAACCACCCAACGACGGCGAAGAGTCCAGCAATTCTCTCGCACATAACCATCCCTGCATGGGATTCGAACCCACGCAGAGTAATTAGAGGTGCGGTGGCGAGCGTATTTCTAACGCTTAGCCCGTTGAGCCACACCGCCGCGCCCTATACTACGTTCCTGTGTCCGCCATCTTGGCACGCTTACTTCCGGAGCGCCCCTTTCTGAACAAGAATGAGTGCAGGGCTGACAAGCCCACTCACGACGCGATCAGAAGTAGTATGTACTTATTCACTTCTGACAACGTGGGTGTCTTCATTGAGACTTGTTTTGAACTTTTCTTCGTAGGTAAAATAAAATGTTCATACAGAAAAGAGTTTAAACGAAGCACTTGAAGCAAATTTAAAACAAAGTTTGTTTGAGCTCCGATCTATAATAAGTAGGGCTGGGCGTTTCGAAACACTGTTTCGATACGTTTCGAAACACTGATATGTCGAAACGGCGCTGTTTCGACTTCCGAAACGGACATTATGACGTCATAGCAATAACAATCTGAAATCAGTCAAAAAATACATTCAGCGATGTCCAAGTCGAATTTCATATCCGAATTTATTCGAATATCGCGACTCTCAAAAATCGTTTTTAGTGTTTATAAGAATATTGAATATATTTCAACATAGTCGAGATAGTCTGGGTTACTGCGGCAATAAATCTAAAATCAAATTTTGTCGTAAATAATCTTTTTCACCCTTAGTTTCTATAGTGACCGAGCATGTCCTGCATTTGCCCCGTATGAACTAGCTCTGGAATATCATTTAGTATCTATCGCAGATTTTATTGTTACACTGCCGTCGTTAATATTAATATAGTTCAGTGCAAGTTTGCGGTATTAATTTATAAGCAATAATAAAAGCATAACAGTCGACGTGAAATACTCAAATCAGAACTGACTTGAAGAAAAATGAAACACGATTTTCAGTCTTAACTCTCCGTCATTGGCGGATGGAAATTTGTGAATTGGGTCGACTCATTTGATTACGACGATAATCGCGTTATAAGCAAAACAAACAGTCAAAATTTGTGGGGGGAGGGATAATTGTGGCGGAATTTAGCTTAACGATGTCGATGTCACGCTGACGATAAACAGTCACAACAAAAGTTAGCCGCGACAAAAATCCGAATTTATATTAATTTTACTGTTTAATTTAAATCATTTCTCTGGGCGCCTAGTTATAGCTAATTTCAATCAACGATAATATCATGAAAGCCCATTTCCTGTGTTCATGGAGTTGAGAATGTATTTGGAATTCAGATTCAAAGATATTTTTTTAAATGTATTAGTCAAGTATTCGGTTGTGGCTTGGTATTATGGCTCTCCTTGGTATTATTACCCCAGTGGATCACAAGGTTCTGTGACATCGGATAATATAGAAAATGATCCCAATTATTACATAAGATGAGGGCAGGGTCGCATTGATACGTTGAGAGGCCCCATGCTATATATGCTGCTTGTGAGCCCCATCTCTAACAATGACGTAATTCGTAATAATTATTCTGATGCCATTTGGTCACTGCTTTGTCATTAGCAAAAACCTTCATTGAATTATCATTATCGTTTCATGCTCTCGAATTAGCCTCCAGTGCTTCGTATTTGTGGTTTTAATTCTTGAAAATATGTGCAATTATACATTAAATTCGATGGGTAATGATGGTTTTATTGTTTTTGACAAACGTGTGTTTCGTTTCGAAGGCAAAATTTCGTTTCGATTTCGAAACACCAGTGTTTCGATTTCGAAACACCAGTGTTTCGAAAATGCCCAGCCCTAATAATAAGTCATCTTATTTTCTTTCTTCCAGTAAATATGATAAAACTGCCGTTACCTTTTTTTCTTCCGAAAATAGATATGCGGATTCTAAGTTAACCCACGCTACAAAATAGTTCGCATTATGATAAAGCTCATTGGCAAAACTTTCATCCAGAATAAATCTCGGAATTAAATGTTAGCCAACAATACTAACGCCTGTAGAAAGGCTACTGTAGCTCATCATATGAATAGACCTTATAGGCATCATTCACAAACATATCATTCTATGTAAAACTACCTTTCAGTTCCCAGTCAACGACAAATTTTGTTACTCCCGAAGTATGCGCATCAAGATGTCGCACAACCTGAATCCTAACCTGGTACTTAACCTCAGTTCAAGTTGTGCGCCATCTTGGTGCGCATACTTCAAGAGGTCCTAATTTTTTTTCCTGTTCTACTATCCAAAACTGTAAATCAAACAAAACAAAATTCATTACTATGGCATGAGCAGTAGCAAATTTATTTCAAGTTGGTCAGTTTACTGTAAGGCACAAAATTGTGAAAATAGGAACTTACATTCAAAAAAATGTAGCAAAAAGGCAGTGTTTTATTGATTTCAAAGAATTTACAATTCAAATCAATACATCAATAGGATTCATGATTGCATTGCAATTTCAGCTCTTTGCAATGAAGCCTGCACCATATCATCTGAAGTTGTCTCAGCAACATGAAGATATTCATCCAGTGTTTCATTTAAATGATGGAAAAGTTCATCAAATTCAGGTTGCACTCTTAATTCTTCTAGTACAGATAGCAATTGCTCTATTATAGTGTATGGAACCCAAGTTCCTCTCCTGAGATACGAAGTTTCGTCAAAGTCTGTTCCGACTTGAATTTTCGCCATTGTTATGAGTTCTATTGCAAGTGATACTGCTTCTTCCAATCTATCAAAGCACACAAGTAATCTCAATAACTCCGGGGAATTTCGACTTTTGTATGTGTTTACAAACCAAGCAGGTAGCTTCGCACTTAATCCCAATAGAGATTTAGCTACTGCGTAAAAGTACTGCGTACCACGACCTTCTGCATTTCCATGTCTTTCTAGATACACTTGGAGTAGTCGATACGCTGCATCTGCTGCGGTCCATTTTGCTGTGCTGCTTTTTCCACCTCTACAATGAACTTTTACAGTTTCGTTTTCCTGTAGCCATTCCCAACCTTCTGCCATTGCTCTATCATCAGCATAAGATAAGTAGACGCATTTCGAAGCGAGAGATGAAAACACAGTTGCAAGTGATAAGTTGAATTTGTTGCAAACTTTTATTGCGTCATCATAAAGTCCAGAATGGCATAGCAATCCTGAAATTTCAGATTCTGATACTAGTGGGCTCATTGCAGTTTGCATTGAATCTTTCGAAACTTCTTGGAGTTTCAACTTCATTTCAACAAGAAGAACTTCCTTTTGGATATCAGGTATTTCGTGAATTATAACCTTTCGTTTTTGTTGCTCCGCCACTTCTCCATCATTTTGTCGCTTCGGTGAGCGATATCCTTCAGGTTTCTGTGAGGTTGCCTTCATATGATTTCCAATTGGGTGCAAAATCCAACGATTGTCGACAGCTGTTAAATGTAAGCAGTTTATACATGCAACATAACAGTCAATTTGTTTTTGCAAGCAGGCAATTATCTCTTCAGATGTAGACGGTGCGAACTCGCAACTAATTCTGTACCCTTGTTCATACATAGCCGAAGAGGCTCTTCGGAAATTCTTCCTCTCGATGTGAAATGCGTATAAGAGATCATAGTAATTATGAGGAGATGTCGCGAGATCCGTGCCTCTCGCACGATGCTCCAAAATGCTGACTAAATCGCCTTCTAATTCTCCATATTGGAATTCGACCAGTGTTTTGTATTTCTTATGTTCACAAAGTGAGACAGCAAGAGTTCTCAAGCAATCTTTCCTATGATCAGGATCTGGGTTTAGTACTATTGCTTTCAGTGCATTACAATGCCGCTGTAGTAGGTTACTCTGTCGAAATATACTCGACCACAAAATGGACACATTCGGATCATGCTCTTGTGATTTTGCAACTTGAATGGCATGTTCTGCCAAAGTAATCACTTGTTCAGGTAAATCCAATCTCTCAAATATCGGTAAAACTTTGGTATAATAGATAATTTCTTGAGCTGCTGGGTGGAAGTTTTCTTCATCTTCTTTCAGCAGTTTGTTAGCAAGATAATCCTCATTGCTAATCCCTGACGATGCCATGATAAAGGATTGAACGGCTTTATCAAAGTTTCCATTATGAAGATGACAGTGCGCTAGCATGTATCTTTGAGACTTTGTGCTCCAGTTGCACCAATCGCCAAGTTCTCGCTGGATGTATCTTTGAAGGACAGTGTAGTGTCCATGAGAGAGCAAAAAATCTAGCAGGGTGAGTGTAGGCCCAAGCGGCCACATAAGGTAAACGACAAAGTTGACAAAATTTGTAACCAATCCTGAATGTAGGACGTGAATACCTTGACCTTGTTGGTTCTGCAGATATGCTTGTAAGAGCTTACCGCCATCAGATGAAATAAAGAATTCAAGTACGGTTTGGTGTCCTTGCGCAAGTGTGGATTTTGCCTCTCGGTCTATGCTAAGTGTTGAATCATGCACGGATAAAGTTTGCATGGTGCTTTCTAAAGTTGCCTGTGATATGTTTTGTGTTTGAACAGTAGATAACCAGAACATAGCTTGATAAGCTTGCACAAAACTAACAATTCGGAATCCTAATTGAGTGTCTCCTTCTTGTTGTAAATGACCATCTTGCCTCTGTAGAGTTTCTAGCAATGAGGAAAGTACATAAAGCAGGATGGAGAGTTGGAAACGATTTTCAACATGTCGCATAATACAACGCGATATAAATTCAACCCCCAGTGACCCTGCTGGCCAAGATTGTAAATCTGGCATATCAAAATCAAATGCAAATTCTGAAGGGCTTAAGCAGAGCGTAAGCATTTTGACAGCAGACGAAACATCATTAATTTTGATGATAAGATTATCCCATGTGTCGTTTCCTGATGATTCTCTTACAGCACCCTGAATATCTGGCATCATATCTTCTATGACATCAGGTGGGGAATTGCCAGCCAAACATAAGCTCTGCTGTATTGACTCTACTAATTCCGCTCCTAAATAACTATGTAATTTTCCAAGGCTTTCCAATAATTGAGCTAAGTCATTGAGATTGGCATCTGTGCAATCGTCCGGCTGTAAAAATGTTCGAAAAATATCCGGATCAGATCCACGGCAAACAGCTTCAAGTGGTGAAACGGGGGCTAATATCATAAGATAACCTTTCTTGATGACGGATACAAGACTCTGTGAAGAACCGCGATTGATCATCAATCCCAAAGAACGTGACACAACTTGCTGATATTGAATAAGATCTTGATAAAATGAGTTCCACACTGAGACTTGCAAAGCATCCTCATCCATTTCTTCATCCGGAATTATTTCTTGAATCGCATTTTGAATATGTGCGGCAACTCTTTCCTTCAATTCTTGTGGTTGGAGATATGCCATGTTCGATACGTTTGATCTCTGATGAATGGATAACGTTCGAGTCAATGCTACAGGGCTGAATTTACCTGAGCTAAATATGTAATCCATGTAGGCCTCCCCGACATCCTGATATGGAAGAAGTGGAATTTCTAGAACTGGTGATGGGTGTGAAGCGACTTCATGCCATACACCTACATCAGCAGCACACACTGAAATAGAATCTACTTCTTCAGTATCACGCCACAAAGTAAATATTTTATTTGTTTCTGTTAAAAAATAATCAACCAGATGGCGGTGTGGTAGTCCTTGTGGTGAAAGGGAAGCAAAAACAACGGACAAAAAATTAGTTTCCAAAGTACCAGTGCTTGAATCCATTTTCACTTGAAATTGAAGGAATCCTGCTTGATCCGACATACAAATATATAAGCTTATCATTCCAACTTCGTTGACAACTTTTACTTTGAGATCCACAGCTTTCGATTTGTCACCATCATCTTGAAAATGTGCTGATAGGTCATAATTCACAAGCATATCATGGGTTTCAAAAGACCAAAGTCGCAGTTTACGGTCTTTACATGCTGCAACGACGTATGGGTGATTTTCAATCACGAGTATTGCAATATCAGAGATAGTTTCAGTGCCGGCTGCTTCACCCCATGGATTAATACCGGACCATATTCGTGACATCCTTGACGCTTGGTAGATATTTGCAATAGTTGGAGGAGAGCGACTTGTCATGTTAACAAGCGCCATATTGCCTTGATTGGTTTTCAACGCAACAGCAGTGTATGGGTCACCTTTATCCGGAAGCATCGTTTTTACTGACCATTCTGTTACAAGTCCCTGAATTTTTTCGCCAAAATAGAAGTTTTCAAACTCATTTTCAAAATTGAAAGTCGCTAAATTTGAAAGTAAAGATGGGTAACTGACCCCTGACTTTGGTCCAGATCGCCCAGTTGACAAAGTATCAATTGACATACGATGGACTGCATGAAGAGTACAACAAGTGATGTATAAGCGATTTTTGAACAGCGATACATCAACTCCAGGTATTATTTTAGTTCCTTCGAAAGTGATGATAAAATGTGAAGAAAACAAATCCACATCAAGAGAATATTCAAAAATTTCCAGAGAATTTTTTTGAGTGCGCCAACAAATCACTCTCGATGAATCTTGCAATTGTAAGGTTACACCACCACCGGATTCAGGAAATGTAACATTCTCGGATGCATCGACTGGACCTTCTCCTTCAGGAACTGAAATTTCTTGAGCAGGCCGTTGCGAAAACTTTGAATGAATAGGAATTTCTTGAAGAAACAAGGCTGGATCCTTTATATCCATGATGTTATAATACAAATACTATCTAAAAGAAAAAATATATAAATCATGGCGTGTACTTTGCAGTGAGTTGCTAGAAAAATAACATGTAGCACCAAATCAACATCACAAATAGTATCAATACATACCGGTAATAGTTGAATAATTAAATGGCAATAGAAGAAAGTATAGAATACTTATCAGGTTATAATCACAAATATAAAGTGTTTTGACATGACACTAATGCATTCCAAATAATAACTTTGACTAATTTTTTTGCATGGGATGATTTTTTGTACAAAAATCAAATTTAAATTTTACATTTGAAATAGTAGTAGCTAAGCTAGTCATATTAGTTAGGCACCAAATTGATTGGTTTTTTTAATTCTAAAAGGAATTACATTCATTCAAAAGGCAGAGGGTCCAGAGTCGGTGAAATGATTGCATAAATTGTTTCCCGTCACCCATTTATTCATTTTGTAAATAAATATCTTCAAATATAATGTCAAACCCAAACCACCAAAAAAATTTAAAAATACAGTTATACAAATATTTTATCTGAAAATTGAGCTGGCCACAATATTGCTGACATTGACAATCATATTTGAAGCGAACCAGACAGTTGGAACATAAGTCACAAAAATCAAATAATTTCCACATTTTTCATAGTTTTGGGCCAGGTTTGGTAGAAAATAATTGCTTTGAGGAATTGTTCAATAAATTAATACCGTAGTTTGAGCCGAAAATCAAAATAACCTTATTAATACCAGACTGGCGAATAAGGGTACAATTCCAACAAATAGTATTTATAACGATTTTTTATCAACAGCTATGTTCTTAAAATTGAATTGGTATATAGCGCATTTATGATTCATGTTATGCAAATATACAATACATGCTACATAAATCAAATTGAGTAGCAAACTGAAAGAATACTAAAATACTGACAATCAAATTCAAATCATCAAATAACTTAAGTCGAACCAAGATTTTCAAATTATGATTGAAATGATCAGGTTAGTATTAGAACACTATGACTTCCGAAAACCTGCAAAATATATTCAAATGAATCGGGATCAAAAATCCAAGCCATCCTAACAATGTATTATTTTGGGTATGTTTAAAATTAGCATAGGTACATAAAATTAGCAAAAATGCTATTATGAGTTTAGAAACTATATTTATATGATTCAGGACCATTTAAGGATAAGAATTTCTCAGTGACATTTGAAATCAGTGGGAACTTTACTGTTGTATCATTTCATATATTTCCCCAAACAAAGATTTTTACCAAAATTATTTTTATGGCAAACAAAGACATATTCGGCAACAAAAATATGGCGAATGTGATATTGAGCAAATTATCAAAATTTAACAGATATATATTATTTACAGATACCATTTAACAGCAATATCATTATTAACAAAACGGCTTTGAATTATAGAAAAGCATCATTGATTGACAAGACTAGACAATGCGATACCATTTATCATACAGTCGCCATTGACTGGCACAACATTTTGATCAGACGATTGTTCTTTTCGTTTATTCGAACAATCAGTTACCATTTTATTCAATTCTCCTGCATCATAACCTAGTAATTCTTTCAAATTGCAAACAAATTTATAAACGAAGCGCTTTGAAGGTACTTTACTGATCATATCGCCATCGTAATAATAACGCAGAGCCCGAGAAAGTTTTTCATAATTCATAGTGGGCTTGCCTTTTCGTTCACCCCATTTTTGAGCCACCATTTCGGGTTGTGAAAATTTGAATTCCCCTTCATCTCCCAACCACATTATGACGTGTCGTTCGTCTGCGTCCGTTAAAAGTTCCAACAAAAATTGCCAAAGTTGAATTTGGCCTCCGCTGTTGTGAGAACGTGTACTGATTGGAGCACCTTTGTCTGATGAAATTATAGCCGGCGTTCTTCTTGGAGCCCGCCGTGCGTAATTGCCTGATATGTTCGTTTGTTGATCATTTATAACTAAATTTAAAGCCATATTTTCAGAATCGTTTTCTATTTCTACATTATGTTCACCATCGTTCGTTGATAATCTTTTCAAAAACGACAAGTGTGACCATAAAATATTTCCATATGGCAATTTCACAAAAAATTCTTCAATCGTTAATGAACATAATTTCTTTCCATCCATTCTAGAATTTTTAATGACAGAAGCATCTAAATTAAATTCCTTTGCCACCCAGACCATCCAGCGAAATACTTGATCTGATGTCCATTCCATTGGGTCACAAGGAATACCAAGTTCCTCTTTATTTTCTGATGGATCTTCGTTATTAGAATGTCCATTTTCTGAGAGTCCACTTTGTTGACCGTTCAACGCTTGAATGTCTTCATCGGTCATATTTTTCGTAATTTCAACAATAGTCAATCGCCCATTATCAGTTTGTACTCGAATACTGAGTTCGACACTTCCCGAAACTTTTACGCCTTGTTGATACAAACTCAGTTGTGGATTAAGTGGAATATCTTGTAAATAAATTTCATAATCACTCAAATCCGCAGATTGTAAACGATTTTCAACCAATTGCTGAATATTCAATATTTCCACTCCAGTATCCAGTTCAATAGTGATAACAGAATCAGTGTGGGATCCATTATGTAACTTCGCTGGCATCCCAGATTTCCGATTCACTTTTCGTCTTTTTTGTTCCATTTCTATTTAGTTTAGACAAGTGAGATTATTCTTCGACTGTATAACATAAAACATTTCATGAAATTAGCGAAAACCATATCTTTATATTATTAGGAATAATATTATGCTTGGCATACATGCTGAGCTAAGAATTGCAGTTGAGCTTGCTTCGCTAATACAGTAATAAGCCTACAGGGTTCAAATTCGCGTAGGTTCAGACTAACTCCTTTTTTTATTTGTATTTCATTTCATTCGCTTTTTTCTCTAAAGCTATACCATATACACAGTGGTGGGATTCAGCCGATTCGCACCGGTTCTATTGAACCGCCTCACAGAATTTTATGAGATCAGCAAACCGGTTAGCATTACTGGTTACTGTCAGTGACTTTTTGTACCAGAACGGGGTGAAAAATATGATTTTTGTGACGGAACCCGCTGACAAAAAAATTGGGGTCTCGTGTAGTTCCGTACCTAACGTACTTCTAACGGGCGTAGCATAACATTTTTGATATGTCAATCCTAACCCCCATCTGATTACGCCATCCAAAAATTAAATCACTACATCACAATCACGTCATACTGTCATAGAGCTTGCCAAATATACGCACGATCGACCGAAATGGCATTGGCGCCAACGATAAAGAACTGACTGACGTTATCGGTCTCTCTCCTATTGGAATCGTTTCGACGAGAAAACGAGAGAAATAACTGTTCGATTTCGGGTGCTCGTTTGCGCGTCTTGGATGGCAGTTCGTATAGTTTGAAGTAGAGATGTACCGATGTATCGGTATCGGGTATCGGTATCGGCAATATCGGTCATTTTTTCGGTATCGGCCATGTATCGGTATCGGTTAATTTAGGGCCGATATTTCTGATATATTTATCTTTTTGATATGGTCCAGAATGTTTTAAAAGATAAGTTGGAATACTACTTTTTAATTTATTTTTTGTCTGGAGAGATCGTGAGCTATGAGACATACATGTCCCCACCCCCGCGAGAGAATAGGATTCACGTGTTTTTAGCTATTTATCAGCCAAACTAGTTCAACTAATTTGGCTATTTTCGCTGTCAATTTTTTATATTGACATTTTTAATATTACATAGTAATTCTAATTATGAAGAAATATATCAACACAGCACAAAACAAAAAGCAACTAGGCGCCCAGTTTTAAATCATACAGTGGAATTGGGGTCCTTATTAACGGAACAAGGACTTTTGGCACGGCTATAAATGCTGACTGTTTGTCGTCAAGTACGAGTGTCATTTAGTCCGTCGACATCGATAAACTAAATTCCGAAATTCAAAATTTATGATAGATTGTAAAATATTTTATATTATAAAATAGTAAAGTAAAAAAACATCCTCGACGGTTATAGGTAGGCCTTCTTTTTGTCGGTGCTGATTGATATTCTTTCAATTTGGCTTTGACTTATTGCGTCGACGATTACGATTAGCCACGAAAAAAAATATTTGTAAAATGCTTTTAATTTGAACGTAGGACGGCGGCGCTAGAATGTGTGGGTGATATTCGATATTCTTTTAAACTCGAATAACGATATTCGAAGGTCGCGATATTCATATTGAGTTCAAATTGGACATCCAGGCTTATGAGTTTCAATTGAACACCGAGATTACTAGCGTTACTGTACAATGTATCTTAATCAGTTGAAGCAAACACCAAACATCAATTTCATATTATGTGATATATCTTTTTTTTCGATCTGAAATAATGTGTACTATGAACAACGCTCAAAGACCATTGTTTTAACCCGTCTGCCCTACACAGCACACCTAATTAAGTAATACTTACATAGTATCGGTATCGGAATATCGGTAATATCGGCCTTTTTGTAGTATCGGTATCGGTATCGGCGTTTTTAGCTGGTATCGGATCGGTATCGGCGACAAAAGTGGTATCGGTACATCTCTAGTTTGAAGGGCTCTATTACGTCACTGTGAGGTCGTAATGACGTAATTTTTGGATAGTGTAGTCAGGTGGGGGTTGGGATTGATACGCAGATACGTGAAAAAATTGTCATGCTACGCCCACTACAAGTATGTTAGGTAAGAAACTACATGAGACCCAAAAATTGAATCCCACCACTGCATATACAGATATACCAAAAACCACTTCACCAAAGTTTATACACAGTATACAGGTATATCGATAGGGGGTTCCTTTAATTACCGAAACAGCCCCTAAATTACCGGAACAGGGTTGAAAAAATACATAAACCTACCGGAAGGACCCTTAGATGTCTTGCAAATGCCATTTCATATACTTCCTTGCAATTTTTATATTAAATCGGCAAACTCTTCAGTGGTAAAAATAATTTTCTTCAATTACCGGAACGAACCCTAAATTGCCGGGACGGAGTGGAAAACCTATATAAACTTACCGAAACGGACTTGTAGATATCATTTTATGTCCCTCTAAGCCAGTGGTTCCCAATCTTTCTACCTCGGCGGACCGGTTGAATAAAATTAAATGTACTCGCGGACCGTCAAAAATTGAAATGACCGGAACAGAAAAGCATAACATAAATTTGCGTAATATAATGGAGTGTCGGGCACTCAATATGCTTCTAGACAAAAAGGCACACTTAAAAACATATCACACGAAAAAAAACTATCAAATAATGTGGCAAAAAATTGAAATGGGTGAAACAGAAAACAACCCCATAAATTTGCGTAAAGAAATGCAGTGTTGGACACCCATTATGCGTAAGAAAGACACACATAAAACATCTGACATAAACAACATGTACAAGCGAAATCATGTACAAACATTATTAACTATAGTGATAATTTTGCCGCTGTTTCGTTTCCAGTATAGGATTGCAAACGAGGCCTCAAAGAAGTTTCTGCAACACGTAGCTCTTCACCGGCGTGCGGCCGATTTCTTTGCTGTGTTTTAATTAAGCTAGTGATGAAAATGCTTTTTTGCATAACGCAGTAACTGGTTGAAAATATTGACAATAGTTTGATTGCTCGATTACTTAGCGATGGGTATTCGTTATAAAAAGATATCCTAAATTGTGATAGTGAATCTTTTTTTAAAATCTGGACTGTAAAGTAGAATCACAAATATTAATCAAGCATTTTCTTTTTTATCGGGTTTATCATATATATCCTTCTGTGGTTGATCGACGTCTCAAACGAAATGAAATTACAATGACAAGTCGTCGGTAACTTGGCGCCAGGATCAAAATTCTACTGTGCCTGCTCAAAAAACTGGGAAAAATCTCTGCGGTCCATGATTTTTGCGCGTCTCGTGACAACCTGCAGGGCTGCAACAATTCATGTCTTACTGGAATATTATACTGTTAATGACAGTTTTCTTGTTCAAACAAAGATATATGCATGAAGTTTTATGTGGATGGGTATATTAATCAGGAAAAGCACGCAGAACAGAAAAAGCATGCGTGCCGATTTTTAGTTTTCTGAATCTTGCGAGATTCGATTGAGCGCATTCGCAATAAATTGGAGCCGAAAAAGCGAAAAGTGTGGTTACTCGGTGCCAAGATGTCGCGGAAGACGTCGCCACAATGTCGCGAAAGTCGTCGCCACAATGTCTCAATATGACGGCGGAAGAGAACTTGCGTAATAAACCAGGGCAACCTCGTATCGGGTAAAGCGATTGAGACGACATGAAAACAACGAAACAACTAAATTTTCTCGCGGACCGGCAAAAAAGCTTCGCGGACCGGCACCGGTCCGCGGACCGGCGGTTGGGAACCACTGCTCTAAGCCAATGGTTTTTAATCTTTGTGAGCCTGCCGAACACTTGCGCTATTCTGCAAGCTCCCGCCGAACCCCATTGTACTGAACGGTTGAAATTAGAAGCCAAACCGTAACGTCATAAAGCGGAAGCTAATTCTTGCAAGGTTATAGAATATGAACATTGTGATGAAACCTTAGATATCAATAACCATGTGGGAATAACCATTGTTTTGTCACAATGGCGTTGGCGGCAGAATGAGCAGATGGTTTTTGTTGTATGAGTTATGTGGGTGAACAGGCGAAAACTGATAAAAAATAACTTTGAAAATCCGAAAGATGATAATATACCCCATAAACATTGGTAGTTCAAGCAATTTTTTCTCAAACTTTAAACTGCGCTGAAATGCGAATAAAATCGTTTGCCAATTGTTTTATTTTACAGAAATAGAGATAGGATTAATTCGGCGCCATATCGAGGTTGTCCTGAATGGATCATAATAATTTCGGGTGAATCTCTGCGATAAACTATTCCTTGTCGCAAATTTATCACCTAGTGAAATTCGAACACGTTATGATTTTGCATTCATTCATGTACAATTACTGCCTATCTTCGATATATCCGTAAAATTGAGTTAAATTTTATTAGTACGGTAGAATATGAATAAGGGTAACACCAATTAATTGTTCCATTCAATTGTTCAAGTCATTAGTAATTAGTCATCATGAACTATAGTTATTTTTGCATAATTGGTATGCAGGGTGATAAAAAAGTCTCATAATATGCAACTGTTTCAGAGCACCTTCGTCGAACCCCTGGAACAGCTCCACCGAACCCCAGGGGTTCGATCGAACCCAGTTTAAGAACCACTGCTCTAAGCGATTTCTCAAGTATAACGGGAAATATTTGGGGGGGGGGGGTGAATGGTAGAAAATAACCATTTCATTTTGCGCCACCTAGCGGATGTAAATTGAGCAATGAATTCCTGAATCTTCTCTTATCAATATGAATTAATGATAAAAATCGATAATCAAAATTTATCATGTCATTAATTAGAGATAATGTTGTTATTTTAGTTCGCGTCAGCCGTAAAGACTGCCGTTTCGGCACCGTAATCTATCGTGATAGATTGCATCTTGCTTCGTGTCCATATATTTGAGCATCGTTCTCTTGTTTACCTATATACTGTACATCCAAATCTGATCCTCTTCTTCCAAATTTACTAATGTGCTATTGACTTAGCTGCAGATTGTTAATTTCTCCACTAGTTCCGACAATTTAGGGTCCGTTCCGGTAATTAAAGAAAATTTTATTTACCACTGTCCTCCCC